TTGTGTTATTTGTAAAGTAAAAATGATAAAGTATTCGTAACAATTCATTATTACAAACGTATGTAGTAATAAATACAATCATAATTACAAATGTATTAATAAAGTGTTTGAAACAATTCATTATTTCAAATAATTATTTATTATCATATTTCAAATAATATCTGCCCAATCCTGTATTGTAAAATAATAAATTAATCTCACGAAGTGAACCCTGTAAACGTAGACTCCACCCCCGTCATATATTTAAATACAAATTGATATATCCAACCGACCGCGAAGAAAAGCTCGAGATCCCCATTCCCGGGGAAACGTTTGTATTATTTTTAGGCGATAAATCTTGTTCCCCGACGGACCGACAATAAAATGAAGAGAAAAAAACGCAAAAAATAAAATAAAATAAACACCGCTCGGCTCAACGGCGAAGCACTCAAATAAATGAACCCCCCGCCCGTGATTTCATTCGGTCAGATAGGACACGCACCCGCCTATACAATACATATACACCTTGCTTAACGGCACTCTCGCGACTACTCGCGACAATTTTATACTTTATCGCGTTTCCACGTCGGTTTTACGCGTTCAATCGCCATTCCGAGGGCTTTACAATGTCTGGTTTACGGACTCTCGAATCGAACGCAGGCCACTCGTCTTCCGGTAAGGGTTGTTGCGTCGCCCTTCACCGCCTTGGCTCTGTTTGCCTCTCCTCGGGCCTTTTCAACCACCACCATCCCCCCTGTTGACGAGAAGAGCGTACCTATCTCTCTGGTTTACGATGTGGCCCCGATGCGTTCGACAAAGAGCCCCCCGCGCGCGTTCGCGTAAAAACAAAAGGGTCGATGTAAAATTGCGATAGCCGACTGCGATGTAAAGCGACCGTGGCGGAGTACACGGGCTTCGTAAAATGTGTGATACTTTTGAACAGGGAATAGTAAATACAGAAGTGTCCCGGCTGAAGGAGGCCATCTGAATGTCTCCTTTTTTTTTTATGATCTCGGAAACGGTTGAAGCACAATTCGAATGGTTTCGAAAGAGGAATACTATGGAAGGAAAGAAATTTCTTTTAAGGTAATTCTTTCCGTATTTTTTAAGGTCATCGGTATTTTGTTTGTGAGAAAATGAACAGAAATGAAATGGTATTGTATTTGAATTAACCACTAAGTGATGAGGTGGAGTCTGAACTCGAATATTTTTAGAATATTTCATTTTTATTCGGTAGTTACTTAAAGAGATGCGTTTAATCATTTCGATGTTTTCTAACATGAGAATATAAAACAAACTAGTTGTGTAATAAGATTCCCACTTCAAAAGTTAAGGGTTGAAATCTGAATGATACGACGAATAGTATGGATTTATGTTAATACTTTCACATTAGATTGTATACACTTGTACAATTCCATGGCACTCAATTTGTGAATTTTTTCATGAAATAGAAAAAAAAACTAGATAAAACCTACATAAAGACTTTTCTATTTTAATTTCATAACACGCACCTGAAATTTTCCTGACACAATACTCAAAAAATACAAAATAGACAGGGGGGGGGCAGGTGGCAGGAACCAACGTTCGTATATGTGTGTGTGCCGGTGGCACCAGACAAATTCGACCGACAAAAAAATACCAGAAAGGAAAAAAGGGACGGGCGAAAACGTCGGACATAACAGGGATAAAGGTACAAGCAAATTAGCAGCCGCGCTTCAAGGTACACAGAGACGAGAGAAAACAACGATCCCCTTTCCCCCGGTCCCTTAATCCGCCACCGTGACTCGTGGTGCCCCCTTCCTTAAGCCGGCAGGAGCGTGCAATAGAGCATACGATGCGTCTAGACAAAATAATGATTTGGATTTCAATACATTTGCATTCATTACCCCCAGGGCACCTCTCCTGCCCCCCCCCTCTCTTTCCTCCGGCTCGCTGGCTCTCCCGTTGCTGCTCCCGTTTTCGTTTCTCCCTCGCCCCCTCCCCCCAACAACAGAACCCCTTTCCGTCTACTATTCCGTTTCATGTCTCGCAGAGTTACGCTCGTTATCATACGAATGCTCTGCTCGTGCCGTCGGCGCTCGTTTCGTCGCCGTCGAAATGCGATGCGACCGGACGAGCAAGCAGCAGCAGCAGGCACCAGCATGAACCGTCAGCCCCGTCTAGCTTTTTCGCTCGCGCGCTCCACTCTGTCTGTGTATGTGTGTGAATAATTCTGTGTGCGAATCCGGCGGGTCAGTCGGATCAGGGTAGGTGGACGGGAAAAGTACGATTGGGGGTGAGAGCGCGGGGCGGAGTTTGTAGCGCGACGCGAAAAAAAAAGGGGAACAGATCAGTTCGAACGTATGTTTAACCGTTTCGTCGCGGTAGATTCGAACGTGAACCATGAGTAAAGGTACGGTTTCACGTGACAGTAAAAGTTAGGACTTTCGTTGTCGTGACACTGTATGGCAATGAAAACTAATGTCACGACAATGCGACATCTAGTTTTCATGACGACTACTGTCGTAATTTTCAGTGTCATAACCGTAAATGTCACGATTCACGTGAAAACGTACCTTAATAGACGGCAGGCAGATACTAAAACGTGATCGACATGGTGCACAAGTGGTCCAGAAACAACATTTAACAGATTATTTGGCTCTAGCAATTAAAAATTTGGAATATTGTAATTTTGTTTAACCCAGTACATTTGATTTTGTATTGTAAATCAATGTGAAAATGTGTCCACCGGACACCACTGAGTTGTTTAAGATTAAGTAGAAGTAGATCAATGAGAATATTTTTTATCAATTTTAGGGATACTCTTCGATAACATTATTATGCGCTAACAGAACAGTACGAATCCTTAGGAAATTTGTTTTGTCTATTTTTCAACTGAGATACGAAAGGGTCTGAGGGGAATAATAATACACTGAACAAATCCTTAGTAAAAACTTCAATTCTAACGGTGAACCTTTCATACTTTCAAGTCATAAATTCGAAAAACTTAAAAAACAATCGTTCCATGCACCCGAAAAACTTCAAACACGTGGCGAGAATGCTCAAACTTTCAAACATTTGTTAAATTTTCTAAACAAATGCCTGTTTACACTTTCAAAATTATTCACAGACAATACCTTAGGAACATGAGAATAAGTTGATCTGTTACATTTTTTTTTAAATAAAAGGAATTTATTTTTTACCAATTTAAGCACGCCCAACCACCGACGCCGATGCGCGTTTATATGCACCTTTTTTGCATTGGACACACGTGGGCCACAGCTCCGCCTGGGAGTCCCGGCGATACGCGAAACGACGAATGCCCCGGTGCGCACAATTGCCGATTGACGTCACCCACACGATCTCGCGGAAACGATAATACACCAGGCGGGGAGGAGCACGGTCTAGGAATCTAATCTGCTGTCTGCTGAACGGAAAATTGACAATTGGGTCACCGCTTTTGTGCAAGGATCCGTTACGCTGGTTGTATCGATTTGAAAACACGATCGAGTAGCCCCCGACAAAAAACGAAATTGAAGCCTATATGGTGGGTTTATTGGGTATCAGAGGACGAAACAGTGTAAAATACGGAATTTACCTCATTATTTTTAACAATAGATTTGCTCGTTTACAAATGCTAATTATTGTATGGAATTATGAGCAAATTAACATTGAATTGGTACTTCAGGAGTGGAAATATCGCTCGAAGTATTTTTTATTGTTTACCGCACTAAGAATAACTTAAATTTCATTAAAATGGGATGTTCTTTACGGCCCACCATATTACTGAATTGTCTGAAGTCTTGAAACAAATTTTGTATTCTACAAAAATTACTTATAAAACTGTTTATTTGTAATAACTTTTCAAATTTTAATGGAAAACTTTATTTTGAACCCTTTAGTCCCAGATATGTTCGAAACATAAAGTTTTTGTAAGATATTGTAAGTGTTTAGTAAATGAGTATAATGAACTGCCCCCAGTAGTTCGTGTAACAAAAAAAGCTCTGGTATTGCGAGGGTTAATTTTCCTTCTCTAAAGTAAAAAGTAAAAGTGAAACTCGGAACAAGAAGAATTAAAAAAATTAGTCAAACGAAGAGAAAAGGCAGCCACGGAATATGCTAATTGGTCAAAGTTAATTCATCGTCTGAATCATTTAAATACGTATCTAATGTTAAGGAAGATATGTTACGTGTTCCTGGAAAGTCTGTTTATTCAAAATTGCTGGTTTTACAACTGGAAATAGCGTTATAAATGTCATGTGTTTCCTTGAAAATTTAACGAAAGAAACTCGTTATTCTTGTGCCGAACAGAATCGATACACAGTCGTCCGTATCTTTTTACGGGACTAATTCTACTCCGGATACAATTAGTATCGACTCTCAAACGACACTATTAATCCTGATCGGTAAAAACGTCGAACCATCGAAAACAGTCGCGGTCACTATGTTAACCAATTATTCATTTGGTCTTTTAAAAGAAAAACAAGAGATAAAGAGATATTGCAAACTCAACTTCGTAATGTTGGCTACTTGATCATTTCCAAAGTAACAAACTCCATGTACATTTAAATATACATAATTAATCTATCTCTATTAGTGTACTAGAGCATGCAATACTTTTTGAACTGAAATTGTGGCATGTAACTTTTATACGGAACGTTTCTTTTGAATAAAAATTATATTGTGTCCGAAATTTAATATCTCTTTTTCATTTTTATTACTAACTTACTCTTTTCATAAAGATATAAATATATAAAATGTATTCAGCATAATATAATAATTTCATTGCATTACTGATATTAATATTTAGTGTAGAAAAATAGTTATAAGTGCTCGTTAGGAATACATAAAGTATATGTTGAAGTAGATGTAACTACCAATTGTGTTAGTAAAAGAGTACAGAAATCGGTCTAATTGTAGTGCATTTGTATACACTTTTTATAACTTATTGAAAATACAGATTATACGAAACTTTCAAAATAACACGTCGACTATTTTGAGGGTAAAATGAATTAACAAAAAATTGTATATCAAGAACTTACCGGTTCGGTCCGACCATCTCCTTCTTTCCCCAATGACTGACCCTCTGTCCAGCCCATCTTTGATAACAGCTTGAATCCTCTGTTGTCTTTTGCTATAGATCTGTGAATGAAACAAGACATACCTTACAAAATAACTATAAGTGAAAGTCTTCGATGCAAAAAATAAGAACATCCTATAGAATCTCAATAAGAGAAACATCTAAATGACTTAAAAACAATAATTGCAGAAACGAAGAATGATAAAGATAAGCCATTTTACTCGGGAGTTTATGTAATTTAGTACAGTTGATATTTTTGTGAACACATTTTCAATTTTGAAGGATGTAAGAATTTATAACGAAAATAGATTTCACGTAATAAATAAATTACTTACGTGTCCATTGAACTTTGTTGCGTTTTAGCATGATGATCCAAAGAACCAATGCATTGTCGCCTGTTTTGCGCTCTGTCTTTATACCCCCACGCTACCTGACTTGCAGTCGCAACATTATCTTTTTCCACGCCAAACTTATGCTTCAATCGCCTCAGTTCCTGTTTGTGAAGGTTCTTCTTGGAAGTTTTATTCTCTTCCGTGTTACTACTTTGTTGGACGAGTCCTGGTTCGCAATGGCCACAAGTTTCATTACCATTATGAATATGGCATAATAATTTTGTACTTCCAACTTGTAAAATTGAACCGTGTGTAACTTCGTGAAGCTCTGACTCTTGTTTAGCTACAGACAGTCGTTTACCATTCAAAAATGTACCATTTCTTGAGCCTGAATCTATGATTTGATATATCTTTTTCTCTTCATCGTACAATAATCGAGCGTGGTGCTGAAATATAATATAAATTCATGTTTTAGTATTATACATTTACGAAAATTGTTTATTAATTTATATTTGCTATTACTTACTTTACTAACGTTTATATCTGGTATAACTACTGAATGGTCGCCTTCTCGACCAATCGAACCACCCGTATACGCAACGACAAAGAGGCTTCCAATTTTTAATTTAGACAGATTGGTTTCTTTAACTATGATTCTCATGCATGGTGGATATATTTTTGCTATGTCTGAAATAAAAACAAATTGTTAGTATAGCCATAAATTAGTTAATCTATTTAAATTTATAGTACATACAAAAAATATGGTTTAAATATACATGTAAATTTTATCAAACGTAACAATAAATAGGAATGACAACATAAAATTGTAAATCTTTTTGTGAAGTAACTTCTTGCTATTTGAATGAAAATTGAACATTTCGAAAACAAATTAAAAATAAACCTTGATCTTCCTCATGGTCACTGTCACTACTAGTACATAATTCGGGAGTAATGTCATTAGAATTGCTGTCATTATCGTTGCTTGAACATTCACCCTCCTCAAGTTCATTATCTTCCGACTGTTCTTCCGTTTTCGCAAGTTTGCGTTTTTTCCCCTCATCCTACAAGAGAGACATGTGTGCATATTAAAGGCATAGGATAATTACCTAAAGCTTGACGCCTGTATTTTTCAATTGATATGTTTGAAAGGCCATTTATTAACTCATGTATGTCATCCGAAACCTGGAACCAACAATTTTTATCTACGACTGTTCTTTATTAATGTCTTGGAGATCAATAAGCTAACTCTCAACCTTATTTGCCTTTCTAGTTTTCTGCTCCTTCTTGCTTTGAACTTGCGAAGCTGCTTCATTCACAGATACTTGTGCTTGGCTATGAAATTGATAAGTTCCACTGGCTTCATTGTAATAATAATATATTCCTGTATTGCCGTCATAATATAAACCTTGTTTCTGAAACATAATGTTTATGTAATATCTGAGAACCGTTATATTTTTAAAATGTGTACTGCATTATATAATCATAATAAATACTTACTGCATCATAATAATATCCACTATTATAATCATAATATAGACCTGAAGTTTCTTCATAAACGAAACCAGTTTGTAACAAAGCCGATTCAGCTGCTTCTTTTACTTGATCAACGATACTAACTGATGTTTCATCATCATTAACATTCCACTTTTGTGAATTATGTAACTCTTTTTCATATTCCAAAGGATTTGTTTGGGTGCCATAGTCAATGAATGTTTTATTTTCTAATAACTTCTGATTCCTCTAGAATAAACACATGAATAAAACAAATTATATAAGAGAATGTATAGAAACAAAGTATATTCCTTACATGTTCATTAAGCCTGTTTCTCAATTTAGTGATTTTCTTGTTTTGTTTTTTTATACGCTCACGCATTCTTTGAATGAATCGCAAAACATGAGGAAAATCACCCAGCTCTTCCTGAAAGTCATCTTCAAAATCTGACTTTATTTCTCCTTCATCGCTTTCACTGAGAACATTACCTTCTATCATTTTGGAAGTTATGTGCTAAAAAAATAATGTAATAATTAAAATTAAATTATGTCATAATTAGCTCATTATGTACATTTATAAGTATTTGTTACGTTATATAAATTCTACCAACTACATCTTGACAACATGCTAACTTAAAAATTTGTTATACAAAGAAAGAAAGCAGATGATCAGTTTACAGATTTTACCTATTTATAAAACATGAATACATACAAAACAGAATGAAAGAAAAAATTTGGTCAAAGTTTATCTCCTGTACATTTTGACAAATCCTTTATATAGAGTCAATGAAATCAATTTTAGTTTATGAAACCAATCTGAATTTGGTGCAGTGGTAATTCTGGAACAGCCTTCAAAAACTTGAATTTGCATAAATTTTCCACTTGACATATGACATAACAAAACGTACAAATTTGTATACTTTATCGTCATTAAATAAACAAAATTATCGTATATCTTATATAACCTCTAATCGATATAAAAATTCAACCGTTAAGTTATTCCTCTTAAATTCTCTGATATCTAAAGATAATATAGAATTGTAAAATTTAAATTAACGGCATACATATTGCACTCTACTTTTGTAAACCAAAGTGAATTTAATACAAATTATAATTTTGTAAATAAAGCCTCTATTCATTTACAATAAGACAATATCCTCCATTCAGATTTCAAGCGATTATCTGAATCTAAATCCAAATATTTTCGTTCATTGTGTAACATGTAAGGTGAATGATTGAATTAGATAAATAAATGTCACTACAAAGCTTACGATTTATAGCAGTAGTACGATATCACCCAGAAGTTCTGGGCCAGAACTAATCGTTTAACTGGTTTGATGTTTTTTTTTAATACCGTGATTCTCTACGTTTCGCTTTATTCTTTGAAATGTGTATTCCCGCCTTTGTCAACGTTGTTGAAGAAAACTAAATATTGCACAAATTGCATCGAACAAGCGGGAAAAACAGAAGCTCATACAACACGCATTTCATACATAAGTAATACAACAGCCGCTTTAGTCCTAGTGATAATACCAGTTTTCTATTCTGACCGTTCTGCCATCTGGAAACAGCTGTTCGTTAACACCCCCGAACATCATGGCCGCTCCCAGTCCGACGGGCCGTTGAAAATGACATTTGTTGGATGAAATGCGATCAAACAGTGCTTAAATATCCTTCATTTGTACGACGAGCGTAAATATTGTGCACGCGGTTTAATCGTACTTCGTATTGCCCGTATTCGTCGTTTTAGAAATGACTTTCTTGTGATTCCTTCTCAATTCTTCGAATGCGAATGTCCCTCCTACGCTACTTGTCTTTCGTAGACAGCAACCAGTGTTTTGTTCAGACATTGTTCGAGATAATATACGTATCGCATTGTCAGGACCGTCAGGACATGTTACAATGATGCCGATAAAGGATAACCAGGATGTGGCGTGCTTTCTGGTCACCAAACACTCATGGAAGGGGAAGTAAGTTTACATTCCTTGAATTATTGTAACACGTTGAAGGTTTCACTACTTTGTTATACTTAAGTAATAATTATATAGTCAGACACATCAGATAGATCATTTGTATGATAAAACAAATTCTTGTTACCTTTTTACTCGGCTAAAGTTTAAGTTGGGCATTAAAGTAATATGTTGTAATAAGTTATACTGCAATAATCTAATAAAAAGCAAATGTTCATAAGTTACTTATATATTCAAGAATTAAAGTGAGCAAATTCTGTAGCCAATATTATGAATGCTTAATAGGAATCTATTTCATCAACCAAAAATGCTTGTAAATGTTTGATATTAATGTTACTAAATATTCTATAAAATATTATTATGCACTGTTGGTATCAGAAAGGAGTAATATTAATGTCCTGTGCTATAGGTACAAACGTATTTTTTCAATTGGATCCATGGGTATAACAACATATAATCCGACCACATTAGAAGTCACAAACAAATGGGAATACTCGGACTTTATAAGCGTACAACCAACAAATAGAAATCAGTTGGGTTCACATGAGTTTAGTATAACAATGCGTAAAGAACGTAAAGTTGACAATATGAAATTTAGTTCAGAATATAGAGCTGACTTATTAACTGAAGCTCTTAAGTATAGGAATCAATTTGCTGAGAAACCTAAAGAAATTTTGGTGAGTTGTATGCACTTGTATATGATGCTTATCAAGAGAAGTTCTCATATTGAAATTTAATCAGGCATGTTATCAACTTAGCCATATGGCAGTCATGCTTTGATTATAGTATTCTGTATTGCATCACAAGCGAATAAAGTTGAAATAGTTTCTTTGGAATAAATGAATAAATATTGTTTTCATTATTTTGTAAGGTGGTTTCATAAGTTGTAATTTGATAAAATTATATTTTTTCCTTTCATAGAGGTACCAAGCTTACAAACATCATTGGTCTGATACGAGATTACCCGTTGTATTAGAAGTGACACCGTATAGTCTTGACCAATTAGATCCAGCAACTAACATGGTATTAGCCAGTTATTGTTATAAAGATTTCGAAGGGATTGCTACAATGAAAGATTATCCTAATGGATTTGTAATTGTATGTGGTGGATTTGGACGTTTGCATCTGTTTGCTTCTCAACATATGGAAGAAATTAAAAAAAAGCTGCACGAATCAGCTACAAATAATTTAGGTATCACCATAAAAGTTTTGAAAGAACCTATCAAACTAGATGATTTTGTTGCTCAAAGACTGGGCAAGTTTAGCGGCGACGAACATATAACAAGTGTCTCGGAATTCACTGTTCACAAATATTCATCTAGACATATAGAACCACAAAGACGAACTCTTTGTCTTTCGGACACTTGTTTATTGGAGAGAGATCCTCAGACATATAATGTTTGTACTCTTAGACCTTTATCAGATATTTTTGCTTTAATTCGTGATAATGAAAACCCACAACTGTTTACTATACAATATCTTAATGGCCAAACACGCAGTTACACTGCAACAGATAGGGATTCATTATTGGCATCTTTATTGGATGGTGTTAGAGCATCTGGAAATAGGGATGTTCATGTGAGAATGCGTCCAGTAGCTAGAGGAAAAAGACTTGGTCCTCTTAATTTGCCAGTTGAGGAAGAGGTTGAAACATCTCATGTTAAATTTGTACAGCAACCACCCAGTGGACGTACTTTTGCTGAAATTCTGGAAAGATTTAATGCAAACATTCCCTACAGTGGTCTGAATTATTCTGTGACCCAAGATGTAAGACTACTTATGTGTATGTTTTATGTGTATGTTTTACGTGTATATTATTTTGTATGTTTTTGTATGAATATATGTATGGACACAGTACGTTGAAGCGGTAATAATTCACAATAAATAGAAGTATACTTGTCAGATACACATAACTGAAGTAGATTGAATAAAAACTATTATCTAATTTATTCTTAGATCTACATGTGTATAAAAAATTATTTCGAATATACTTTCAAGACAACATTTAGTATAACAGGTTATTATTCTTATCAAGGATTTCATATAGAGTTTTCAAAACATATTAAGACTAACATCAAGTAATCTCTCTATATATACATGAGTAAATAGATTGTCGAGTAAACTGAAAGTATATTTTCTTTTTTGTCTAGGATGATACACCGCTTGAATGGACTGTAACAACAGTACAACTGCAAGTAAATCATATAATGATTGACTACTTGCAGGGTCTCTTTACCGAAAATAAGGATAAAATTATTCTTGGTGCTTTAAATACGTTGATCAATAAAGAATTAGAAACAAATGATGAAATAGAGGCACAGTTTCATGCTTTGAGAAGATTAGTTGCTAGTAAAATTGGGTTTACTGCATTCACAACACTTGTTGGATTCAGAGAAGCAATCGGGCACAAAGTTGTAAAAGCTTTGAAAAGACAAAATTGTGGTATAACACAGGTTGCTATAGATTGTATCTGTGCTCTCATGCAACCAATGCACGATGATTGTGATTTAAGACAGGAACAATTGAATAAAAGTAGTCTTCTCAGTAGTAACAAGTTCTTGGAAAGTTTACTTGATATGTGGATCAATCATATTGTAAGTATGTCCTTTCAACTGTCTTGTAACTTTCTTTTAATCATTGCTTCTCTGTACGAAGTATTTTCTTATGTACTACTATTTTTTCAAACATTTCAGCATCATGGTACAGGTGCTTTGGTAGTTTCTGCCATGCTTGATCTCTTGACTTTTGCCCTGTGTGTACCATATAGTGAAACAACTGATGGTAAACATTTCGACAACCTTCTAGAAATGGTTGCTGCCCGAGGCAGGTCCCTTTTTAAGTTGTTTCAACATCCATCGTTAGCTGTTGTCAAAGGTGCTGGTTTAATAATGAGAGCAATTATCGAAGAGGGCGCACCGGAAGTTGCAGCAAAAATGCAAGAACTTGCACTTGCCGAAGGAGCTTTACCGAGGCATTTGTTGAATAGCCTTTTCACCATTGGCACCGATGGTAGATTGTTAACCCATAGACAGTTATGCAGGCATCTTGTAGGACTTTGGGTTACAGGACATCCTACCGCTATGGGTCTATTAAAGAGAATCATGGTAAATTAATATTATTGACTGAAACCTACAATATTATTTTCACTGAATTACTAAAATGAAAATATTTAAGTTTGTGTTCATTGTGCATTTGTACAGCCTGTTGGTTTATTAAATTACTTAGACTCCGATGAAAAAGTTCCCGAGTCGTTTCTTGAGAAAGAAAGATTGAACAATCGTGATAATTTGAAAATAGCAATAGATCATGCGTCTAGAAATAAAAAGAACCCGCAGTGGATTGCGATCGAACGTCAAATGCGTGTGGTGGAGAAACACGTTGAGCACGCGCTTCAACACTGGGGGGCCAGGATTGGTATCGAGCGCAAAGAAAAATTTAAAGAACGACCGATAGTGTTAAGGAAACGAAGGGAAAGAATTAAATCGGAAGCGAATTGGAATCTGTTCTACTATAAATTCAATCAGGATCATTCACTGCCGAATTTAATTTGGAATCATAAAACACGGGAGGAGTTGAGAACAGCGCTGGAGAATGAAATTCGCGCATTCGGTTCGGATAAAGATCTGGCTGGCGGGACACTAATCGCCTGGAATCATAGAGAATTCGAAGTGCAGTATCAGTGCCTGTCCGACGAGGTGAAAATTGGCGACTATTACTTGAGAATTCTGCTAGAAAAAGATAGTCCGGACAGTCTAATTAGAAAATCGTATGTGTTGCAATTATTTTCACTTTGTCGTTTTTAATATATTTGATTCTATACATGCCAAGTAATGAATCGTATTTATTGTAGGTATGAATTTTTCAATGACCTGTATCATAGATTCATATTAACAACAAAAGTTGAAATGAAGTGCCTTTGCTTGCAAGCAATGACTATTGTATATGAACGATATTACGAAGATATTGGTCCATTTTCGGATACAAAATATATTGTAGGAATGCTGGAACGTTGTACGGACAGAATGGAGCGTGATAGGCTAGTCATGTTTATAAATAAACTCATATTGCACAGAAGAAATGTGAAAGATATAATGGATCAGAACGGTGTACGCACATTAGTGGATCTCTTAACGTTAGCTCATTTACATACGTCTCGAGCGGTCGTACCAACGCAAACTAATGTAATAGAGGCAGGTCCATTGCAACAGCAAACTATGGAGAAAGAATGGTACTATAATGACGGGGATCAACGAAAAGGCCCCATAAGCCTGAAGGATTTGAAAGAGTTATATTCGACGAATCAAATAACATACAAAACTAAAGTTTGGGCACAAGGATTGGATGGGTGGCGAATGATTTCACAAGTGCCACAGTTAAAGTGGACATTAGTCGCGAAAGGGACAGCAGTAATAAATGAAAGTGAATTGGCAACGTTAATACTAAATATTTTAATCAAAATGTGCGAATATTTTCCAAGTAGGGATGTCGATGATGCGGTAATCAGACCCTTACCGCGTATGAGGCGCTTATTGTCCGATCTACAGTGCTTACCTCATATTGTACAGCTTTTATTAACTTTTGATCCGGTGTTAGTTGAGAAAGTAGCTACTTTGTTATGTGAAATAATGCGGGATAACGCAGACGTTTCGAAAATCTATCTTACTGGTGTCTTCTACTTTATATTAATGTATACTGGTTCTAACGTTTTACCGATTGCAAGATTTTTGCAACTAACACACACGAAACAAGCTTTCAGGAGCGATGATGTAGGTGTATGCTACTATTCTTGTGTTTATCATTAAAGAAATTAAACAGTTATTACATATATGTCCTGTTTTGCAGAACGTCTCTTCTGATATTATGCAGCGCAGTATTCTTGGGCAACTTTTGCCCGATGCAATGGTTAGTTATTTAGAAAATCATGGTGCAGAAAGGTTCGCCCAAATATTCCTCGGTGATTTCGATACACCGGAAGCGATTTGGAACGCTGAAATGCGACGAATGCTTATTGAAAAAGTAGCGACACACATCGCGGATTTCTCTCCAAAATTGAGAAGCCATACCATGGCGAGGTACCAGTACATCGCTATACCTGCGGTCAGATATCCACAATTAGAAAAGGAATTGTTCTGCCAAATATTTTATCTACGGCATCTTTGTGATACTGTTAAGTTCCCGCAATGGCCTATACCCGAACCGGTATGTTCAAGCAGATATTTGCAAAATGTTTATGTACAAGATTCTCGAATACACTTGACATACTGTGCAATCTACTATTTAGGTACGACTATTGAAAGATGTATTGGATACATGGAAGAAGGAAGTAGAAAAGAAACCACCACTGATGACAGTGGACGAAGCGTATAAGGTTCTTCAGTTAGCCAATGGAAAACAGCACAATGAGGCTGAAGTTAGAAAGTCCTACTATAAACTTGCACAAATGTATCATCCTGATAAAAATCCTCAAGGCAGAGTAAGTTATCTTGTAATGTTTAATAATAATGAAGACGCAGACATACAACTGTATATTTCACGGAACCACATTTTTTTTTCATAGGATAAATTCGAAGCGGTCAATCAAGCGTACGAGTTCTTGTGTAGTCGAAGTTGCTGGTCCACCGACGGTCCAAATCCTGATAATATAGTGCTTATTCTGAGAACACAGAGCATTCTTTTCCACAGATATTCCGACGAACTTAGACCGTACAAGTATGCTGGTTATCCTCAATTAATCAAAACGATCAAATTAGAAACCGATGACGAACAATTGTTCTCAAAGTCGGCACCGCTACTGGCCGCTGCTAGTGAACTAGCATACCATACAGTACACTGTTCTGCATTGAACGCTGAGGAACTTCGTAGAGAGGGAGGATTGGATATTCTGTTAGAAGCTTATACACGATGTGTTTCCGTCTTGAACAAATCGAGCAAACCTAATGATATTGCAGTGCAAGTCTGTATGCATATTACTAAGTGCTTCTCGGTTGCTGGCTCGTTTAGGGGTTGCAAAGATAGAATTATCGAACTACCACAACTGGTTAAAGATCTCTGTAGAATATTACATTTTAAGGTTAGTCTTAATATTTCATTTCGAAACAAAACATCATTATTGTACAGTTGCAATGATCTCATGAGATTTGAAAAGTCTAAAGTTAACAGTCACGCCTCTGTTTTTTACAGCATTTAACAAAATTATGTTCAGTAGCCACAGAATGCATATCTTCCCTTGCCACGGACAGTGTACTGCAAATGCAATTGTTACAGTCCGGTGCATTGTGGCATTTATTGTTGTTTATGTTCAATTACGACTATACGCTGGAGGAAGGTGGCGTTGAGAGAAACCAAGACGAAAATCGTCAAGAGGTGGCAAATAATTTAGCCAAACTGGCTGTTCACGCATGTGCCAGATTAGGCGGGTATATGACGGGAGAAAATGAAACGCCAGTCAATCCTGTTACGATTGCTGCTTTAGAAAGTCTATTAACGCCCTATCTAGCGCGACAACTTGAAAAGAACAAACCGGAAGAAATATTAAAGATTCTGAATTCGAATTGCTCGAATCCATATTTAATTTGGGACAATGGTACAAGAGCTGAATTGAATGAATATTTAGAAGGTAAACGGCAGGAAAGATTAAATGGAAGTGACATCTTTGAGCATGACTTTAGCGACTTCAAATATAGTGCTCACGCGAATGAACTTATTATTGGGGAAATATTTGTAAAAGTATATAACGAACAACCCGTATTTCCAATCGAGGTAATGTATTGTATTCTTTGCTCACGTGAGTAATAATTAAATTATAAATATTAAACGATAAGTGTTTTGCAGAATCCTAAAAGTTTTACGATCAATTTACTCGACTTTTTATCCGAAGCATGGAAGTATTTGGCATCAATCGGAAATGTACCATTAGCTAAGAAGGATCAAGAAAAACTAGAACATATTGTTATGTCTCTGGAAGCTTTAAGAAATGTGATTAAGAATAATCCTGGAATAGAATTACAGTGCATAGGGCATTTCAGATTATTGTTTGGACTTTTAAGTTGTAATAATTTTAAACTGATTCAGAAGAATGCTTTAGAGGTGATCAGCAATGTTACAAAGAATCAAGAGTGCGTGGACGATATCGCGGCCAATGAAATTATCGTACATTTATTATTGACATTAAATACTTTGAAAGACTATCAGCTTCTCACACTAGAGACTTTGTATGCTCTTATGAGTTCTACTAAAATCGTAAAAGATGCGCTATTGAAAGGTAAATGAAAAGATATTAAATTTCATCTTTCACCCTTCTAGATCATTATTAAAACATTGTTTTTGTACATGTTTAGGAGCTGTTGTATATGTTCTCGATCTGTTCTGCAATTCAAGTAATACTCAAATACGCGAAACAGCTGCGGAACTGCTTGGTAAAATGTCGTCCGATAAGTTGGCTGGTCCGAAAGTAAAGTTAGACTTATCGAAGTTCCTACCTAGATTATTCAGTGAAGCGATTCGGGATGCTCCTAAACAGTGTGTGCATATGTTTGAAACAAAACACGAAAATCCTGAATTAATTTGGGATGACGATGCCAAAGCTAGAGTCTCGAGGATTATTTCTGAATTAAAAGATGAGTACGTGAATATTAAATTAACGTGTCAGTGATAGATAAAAAAAATAGTCACTATATTACAGTACATGATTCCTTCCAGATATTACGCATTGCAGAGGCGAAATACCAATGCAATATTGAAGTTACCCGAAGCTCAAAATAATATTGACATTGCAACAAATGAGCCGGTAGTGGGAGGTGTATATCTTAGGTTATTTATCGCCAGTCCGGCATGGGCTCTTAGGAAACCTAAAGAATTTTTAAGCGAACTTATGGATTCAACATTAACACTTATGTCCAAAGAAAAAACTGATGTAAGTATAAAATTAACCGTTAACTTGTCGCATATAAGAAATTTATACAGTTCTCGGATACCAGCACATAATGTTTTGAAAATATATTATTTTATTGGGTCATGTTTTATTATATAGCCGGACATGTTGGAATTAACGACCCAAGCACTAGTATGTCTACTCCAAGCACAACCAACTTTAGCAGATCAAGTTCCGTCGTTAGGTCACATACCCAGACTTTGCCGACAAATGGCAATGCAAAATAATCAGCCATCCGTGTATAAAACTGCGATATTAATACTTCATCAATTAGCAACCAGTGAAGTGAGTTTGATCGTTTTCATCGTATTTAATATTTCTGAATAATTGCATAAAAAACAAACTTGTCGCTATTTTTCAGATTTGTATATCATCCATTTGTCAAACGGAATGCATAAGTCCATTGAAACATGCTATGCAATCTAGACGAGATATGATAGCTATAGCGTGTGAGACTCTAAATAGGTTATTTTCAACTAATGAAGATAGACTTGTAAAACAGGTAAATAGAAATTCTACTGTAATATTGAAAATTAGTATTCAATTGTACATAATACATTAATCTTAGAGATTGCAATTCCTGCCTTGTTACGTTGGATATATATTGTAAACTTTATATTTCAGGCTCTGGATGCTGAAATGGTACCTTATCTATTAAATATACTAGAGGGACGGTTGGATGCCATTGAGAACCCTGCAACAACCAAAGCTCAAATAGTTAAAGCTTTGAAAGCTATGACTAGAAGTTTGTTGTTAGGAGAAAAAGTAAATGCTATATTAGAAAAATCGAGTGTCTGGGCAGAATATAAAGATCAACGACATGATCTGTTCATCTCTAATACTGCTAATTCTGGTTACCTTACCGGTAAGATATACAAATGTCTTTTACATTCGGTGATACAGGCTGGGAGGGTGGTACAACTGGATAAGAGGTTCTTTACATATTATTTTATATGCAAAAATAAGTCAAAAGTGTGGACTAAAATGTTTTCATATGGTGGTTCATTTCTAAGATAATCAAATTTGAAATTCTGCTGGATACGTGTACAGTTCAATAGGACTTAACTAACACGTCTGCTCATTAAATATTCAAAACTGATTATATCGGAAACGAAATATTATAGAAAGAAAAACTTTATCCTACATTTTGACTTGCTTTTTCGTATAAAATAACCTCCAGTTCGATTCTACCACCCGTCGTGGCCGACCTTCTTAGTATCAGTCAAACAAAACAGTAGTACGCGCATTGCTAACAAACGGATATTCCTATTTCTTAATATTTATAAATATAATTTACTACAAACGTTATAAATCAAAAATATTAAAACAGATTAAGAGTAGTTTCAAAACAAATGTTTAAGAAACATCGTAAAGATTTACAATATGATTGTAGCGTCAATAGGATTATTTTAATTAGCAATGCTTACGATACTGAAATTCAATATAGTGCATAATATACTTATATGTAAAATTGTAATGCACAGCTGGAACGCCGGTGTCTGCTGGGTATTTAACGGCTGGTCCAAGTACCACATTAACCACCGGCCCACCACCAGTTGACAAAGAGGATAGTTTAATCAACAGGAACGATAATATCTGATATAGGTAGCATTGCAAATGAACACGAGGGACAGTAAGAATGCCGATCCTGAAATTCCTATCGGTAAATTCTACCGATGTAAAGACTACATTGCCTGTGATTTTCGGCTCCTTATGCTAAGGAATTTATCAATCGAATGTTTTTGTTAAATTTACATTTATATTAAGATTATTATGGATATATATATAAATATATATACAATATACACGGTGCCCCATTTGAACCTTTACACGCAATTACCCCCTGAATTATTCCAAAAAATGTTTCAAGTAGAATTTACTTTGTTTCGAGGGGGACATCTTGTGATGGTCACAAATCTTATCTAGGTGACATGTAATCTATTCCATGACGAATTCATTGACCTATAATATGTTGGTCTTTCAAGGTCATTCAAGATCATTTATTGCCGTTCAAAACTTTCTTTTGTTGAACATCCCCAAGATTTCTTTTCCGAAGTATTTTATCGATTCGGTTGTAAACATCGTTATTTATGTAATTTTTGAATGGTAATAAACGACCTTGAATGACTTTAAAAGACCAAGATTCGTGACCATCATAAAATAGTTCCCTTCAAAACAGAACAAGTTCTACTTGAAATATTTTTTGTAATAACGTATAGTTCAGGAGACAATTGCGTGTAAAGGTTCGAACGGGACACTCTGTATACATATATAACGATACTCTTTATTATGCTGTATAGGCAAATTACATAAATACGTGTAAGATCATTCTTTACGGCGGCGTTAGCGTGTGGCAAAAAGATAGTATTCAATGAAAGTCTAATACTAAACAAATTTTTCTAGGAAAAAGATTAATCGAAACCGCAAAAAAAAATCACCTTACCATGTCGATTTTAAACAGTTTTCCTATACGAACTCTTATTTTGTACCTAGCAAATATCTTCCGACGCAACATTTTACTGCTTAACCGCGAAACGAGTTCACATTGCCGAGTGAATTCGTTCGTATAGTATATATATATATACATGTATGTATATGAGAGGATTCAACACGCAGATTCGTTTGTCAAACTTCTAATGTGAACAAGTAGTGCAACATATTTTCTCTGTGATAGCGTATCGATCGTGAAGAGAATGTAATGAGGAAAGCACATTCGTGCGCTGTTTTTTTTTTTTTTTTTCGCAAAACGTGACGTGTTTTGAGAGCATTTATATCCCTGACGAACAAAGGAATAACACGTGTAATGTTGAAGCATCGTTGCTCTATCCAAGTGTGATTAGCGTGCTCTCTGGAAGATTTTCAAACGACCTACGTCAAATGTATTTCAAATACATCGAAACGATCGCAATGCTCATTCGGTACAAACTTCGATTTATTCATAGTTGCATACGTAACCCAATTTTTATTATTGTCATATATTACCATCACCATATACATAAAAGCGTTATACTTGTATAGATCATTCAACGATACACTCACGAGTTAATCGCATTTCTCGATATAGCCAAAAAATAAAACTGTTCTCGTATGTTTCAACACACATCGTGAAATTCACGTCGACAAACATATTCACCGACTATTCGTACAAGCAAATGGAAGACAAACACACACTCCGTTCTTTCAATACGCGAATCAGAGCCCGAAGGGAACGTCTTATAAGACGAACACGATTTGCTGTTTACTTTTCTGATAGCGGTTTCCATTGTCATCATCATCGATTTTTTAACGAATTTTCTACGAAGACACCGAGAATGCCTGCTGACTAATCGAACGATCCGTAAACGAAAAATTTTAAGGACGAACACAAAGATTGTATCCCGTTACTTTCGTGCAACGTCTGTTCTTACTATTTTTTTTTCTTTTGTTTCTTTATATTTTTGAGAATGTTATGTATTATATCTGTATTATGTTAGAGCTTATTTTTGCTTAACGCTTCGGACCGAAGGAAAGCGCTAAAAAACATTTCGGTGATACGTACTATGATGTGAACGGGATTTATCGAGTAGAAAGATTAGGTGTTCCGTGGAGATAGAAAGGAGGAAGAGTACCCTCCTTTTTTCTTCATATCAATTTGTAGTATTCTAACGAGGCGATCGTTTCAAAACGGGGGCTCAAATACCACCCGTGAGAGCTTAGGATACGAGAGCCCTGCATTGCGTTGCTATTCACTTGCCATCCATCACTCGTAAATATACACTTTTATTGCCACTGATCGACTGGTCGAGCGCCTCCACGGCGTCCACGCACGAAATAGATCGACAAGCAATGAAAAAGATATGACTATAGTTCCTCTCGTGATAGAAAAATGCGCATGTGCCTATTATTAGACGCAATGTATAAACTTCTGTGTTTGTAATTCTTACAAGGTGGACACACACAAAGCCCGAGTTCCTCTCGCAGTTCTTTATTTTCCACACGTAGGATCAAGGAAATTCGTGTGAATGTTATTTTCGTTCGCTTGCGCTCGACCCATCGATGGATCTTCTTCGGGACAAAGAAATAGCTGAATGGATCAGTTGGATAAAACAATGATTAGAAAGAAAGACGAGTCTTTTAATCATCGAGTAAATGAGGGTTAAAGAAAAAAGAAGAAAAGTGTAGCAAGGAGAATTGGCATGGTGTCAGTGTATGCTGTGTGTAATAGTGTTACTGAGAGACTAGTAACTACGACAAATACGGGAGAGCCTTAGTTATTTTTATGTATTTTATGCCTGAGTTCTTAAGATTGAGAGTAAGATATTGTATATACACACACATGTATATGAAAGAAGTTATACCACAGATTATTGTACGTACAATTAGAAAATAAACGATTTTGCACATGGTACAATTAGCTCATGATCTGTGGCATAGAGATCCTGTTTAATCTGTTCTTTACTTCCCGCCTCATTTTCCCCTGTTTATGGTTTTCAAAGAGTCATTACCGTGGTGCGTTTATACGGATTTATTTCTTCAGTATACGGTACTGATCTTGATCGTCGTACAAAATCTCATCCATGTTCAAGTACTTGTTCTCCGATTGATGGAAAAGTAATTTGTCCAGGCTCTCTTTCAATTGTGTGAACGTTGGCCTGTTTTGCGGTCTTGTATTCCAGCAACAGAACATAACATCGTACCTACGAGAAAAATACGTTAGAAATATATTAATCCTTGAACTTTTCCAATCGCATATAATCCTTTCAATATACTGACTGCTCTGACGATTCGTATCATCAAAATTAAATTTATATCTCTCTCGAAAATTTACACGGAAATTTCTTTAGTCAACGTTCTTTAGTTAACAAAGATTGAATTAACCCTCGTGTATTGTTCACTGAACTATTGCATTACTACCCTTTGAACTTAAATTCGGTCTAAGTTTAAGTAAAATTAAGAAAAATATATTTACCTATTGCCATAATATGTAAATATCAATTATTCATATAACATTAATTTACAAAATTCTGTGAGAATTAAAGATAAAATTGAAAATCAAAGATTGGTTTTCTTAAATTCAAAAACTAATCCGAGCAGTGCACGTGGGTTAAGAAATACTTTTTTAATTCTTGCACACGTCAGTCAAAATATTGTAACATTCGCAAGCTTCGGAAGAACATTTATTTATCTGTCCACGTTTTTTAATAAAAAAAATCTCTAGGACAACTGGATTACGCAATGTACACACAGTTCTTCGCTGCAACTGGACGGCCGTTCCATTCTGTAACCCGTTTTTAAAAGCTTCAGAACCACATTAGTGGGAATCCCGGGATATGGATGGGCACCCATGGTAACAATTTCCCATAATAAAATACCAAAAGACCATCTAGAAAAGAAAATATGTTTGCTAGGGGAGATACTGGTTAGGATCTCTGGTATACATTTGAAAAAGTGCATGATTATTTAGTGAATAGTAGGTACATAATCGTTTGAATAAGATTTTTTTCTATAGTCCTTTCATATTTCACGTAAAATGTTATACACTGTATCGGAAATGAAAGAAGGAATAGAAAATAAGATTTCTTTTAAATAAAAGAACTTTTTTACATAAAAATTAAGAGTTTTACATTTAATTAAAATAAGATTTTTCTTAAATACAATTTACCGTTAACTACTTTAAAATTCGAAGGTATTTAATAGAAAAAGGGTTGAATGCAAATAAATTCACTATAAAATTATTTGAAAAGAATAAACGCTTAATAGTTTGATAACAGTTGCACTCGCGTATAGTTGGTGCATATTATAGTATATGTAACTATTATATGTTATTAATACACTGATGTGTATACGTTAGCAATTTTGCCTGCTAAAAATTTGTCAAAATCAGTTTTACGAATAACTTACACGTCACTTTGCGTGGTATACACTTGATGCGTTAGTGCTTCAATTGCTATCCACTTCAAAGGGAGTTTTCCGTTTCCCTGTTTTCTATATAAATTTTCCTGGTAAACGTCACGGCTGAGGCCGAAGTCTGAAATTTTTACAATCCCGTCGGCACATACTAAAATGTTACGTGCCGCCAAATCGCGATGTATTATTCGATTCGAAGACAGACACTCCTGCAAACGGTCAGTTAATTTTTTAGGCTAAATCAGGCACATAAAATGATTAAATGATACAGCAGGACCCCATGTAACGCGGTACTCTTATTTCGCGAACGAAAAGTTGCTGTAAAAGACTCATTTTTTATATAGAAACGTATCCGTTTTAGAATTCGTATAATGAAGAATGATACGGTCCGCGTTACAGGGGCGGTCCTACTATACATATAACAAGCTGAATCATTCACATTTTTAGTATTATAAGTAACGATTAAGTATACAGGGTGTTTCTCGATCACTTGCAAAAGTATTAAACGAGAAAAGTCTTCTTTTAATATACACTGTATTTTTTTGTATACACAGAATATTTTATGTTTATCATCAATCTACATTTTCTTATATCTTTATCTTGTCCATTTATTAACACATGTGTTTAGCTTTTAATATCCTTTCGTGTAAATTTCGGTGGTAATCAAGATAAATGAAACATCCTGTATATGCACTGTCCCAAATAAAAATATTGTTAATTACTGTTTCGTATTATTTTTTAACAACAACCATGCAAAACCGAAGCAAATATATACAATGTACACTTCTACGTTTAATATCCTTACTTGATAGTATTCAGTAATGCTACACAGTTTTTAACGGTAATTATAACAATTATCAATTCAAAAATCGATAATAAATATTACAGTAATTAACTTTTGTTCGAATGTGTATGTACGACGTGTGTTGAACTCAAAGTTTTGTTACTGATGACAACGAAAATGTATACTTTACCATGCCTGTCGTGATTTGTCTAGCAAAATTCAATAAGTCGCTTGCAGTGACAGTTTCCGTAAGTTGTTCTACATCTATAACGGAATAAGAATTGGAGATACAATAAATAGTAGGAAAAGAATGGAATTTCTAAAATCAATATTTATGATCAAATTAATGTTCAATTACGAGATTCATAGCTAAAAACACAATATGTTTGAAAATGAAACAATATTATTATAAAACAACAAAGTTCGTTATAATGTGAAAAGCTTTCCGAAAAATCAAATCTGTATATAATTAATTATTAATGATTTCAATAATTTAAACATACACTACCATTCCCAAATACATGCCCCCTCCCCATCGAAAAAACAATTTACTCTTTTTCAATGTGAGCCTTATTGTCTCTAGTAAAAAAAAGCTAACAGTAAAAATCAAACTAACCGTCCAATTTTTTTAGGACTAGGTGTTAGCATCAAATGTATGTATCTTATACAAATTACCTTGTTGGATGTCATATAAACGATTCGCGATTCCACGAATATTTTGATCATTTTGTTGCTTTCCATCTAATTAACATGACAAAAGATAAAAATGTACCCGGGTGGCGTGTTGATTAGTTCATCATCTTATATGATCTATGAATGAACGCAAATGGTATATACCGGAATTGTTCGTACGATACTCTGTGCCATTGTCAGTGAGCGAATCTTCCCCACATTTCAATCGAGCTCGGTAATTAAAGGCAACGCATACCATACTTTGCCAGATCTGAAAAATTTTGAAGCAATTAACCCCGACTTGATTTAAACGATACTCATGTAATACCTTCCACACAATTCACACAAACATTTCGTTAATGTAAGTGGAGTAATTTGATTCATCATTAGTGGAGAAATAATACTTCTAACGCACGAGATTATTCTAAGGTTTAAATTGCCTTAAATATAGGAAATTATTAGGTGCATCGATAAGTAATCAGCTGGTTTCATAATTATGTGTGCTTGGTGAAAACGTTGATGGGACAAAATTTTGAAATATAGATATAAATTATACATCGACCTTTACAGATAGTATATGAAATACAAGGTAACGATGCATGACTCACTTTCCTCAAGTAGGTTTGCAAATCTCCTTTGCAACAATATTCCACAACCAACACTGGTTTTTTGTACAAAAGGCAACAACCAATTAAGGACACGATATTCGGATGTTGCCCGGCGAATTTCATTATTAGTATTTCCTTATGGAAATTTTGTACGTCTTCCATGCTTGGATTTTCTGTAACATTCAAATTAGAAAATTCCTCAAGACAAGAAATACGAAATCGTTCGTTTTACCTTTCAGCATTTTCACAGCGACATTGGTGGTATTTCCGAATTTGTCTTCTAACGAGCCCAGTCTCACGATCCCGTAAGCTCCGCTCCCGAGAATGTTGTTGAGTTTCAGTAATTTCGGGCTCAATTCGAATTTATCGTGTACCAGCGGAATATTATTGAATTCACTCTCGTAATCCTTGTGCAGCAATTTCGTGGTAGTTTCTATAGGCTGGTCTTTCTGGCCAAAGCTCTGCGGTAACATGTATTTTCGAAGCAAAAAATATTCCCACTTATTTTTCTAGAAAATTGTTCTCGATTAAAAAAACTTCCTGATCCTATTATTTTTACTGGTTTTAATGGTCCGTTATTTCATATGTATGGTATGGTACTTTTTTAAACAGAATTAAGTATATTCGAAATTCAAATTTTGAACCCAGTGACTAATAAGTAGGTAGGTATATTTTCTTAATTCAAAATTCAAAGAGCAACAAATTATTGACATAGTGCGCATAGGGTTAACGATTAATTAATATTCTATTCTAATTGTCTACTTTTTGGTATAATATGTATATGTATAAACGAGCTACAGGACACAAACGGTCCTGGTCATAAATACGATAAGGTTCATCATTGAACAATAATTAAATATATCTGAAACCGTCTTAACAAATACTTGAACACACTCACCTCAAAACGCGCGCACTCCACCGAAAAGTGTTTATTCTTTTGTTTGTAGTATTGCAGATAAATCATCCCAACTAATATCGCGATCGTGATCGACATAGTCACTCCGATGATCAACTCACGATAGGACTTGTTTACTCCTGCGACAAAACAGTCGTGATTGATTAAAAGCGCAACTATCGAAAACAAACTCGGCTTCCGCTAGGGAAAAAAATGTCGTAGGGGAAGGGCTTCCTATCACTTGATCTCGGGAGTTACTGAAACGTATGCAAAATTAACATTGACTTGAATATTTATTTCAGTACTTGAAATAAATTTACGAAGTGGTAGGAGGCCCTTACCCCTACGCCGCTTTTTCCCCTAGCGGAAGCCGAGTTTGCTTCCGAGGTTACATCAAGGATACATACTTGCATATTCGTTGACGATATCCTTTTCGATCGTCGTTAGCACGCTAACACCCCCTAACGATTCAGCGATGATGTTCACAATGTAATGAGATCCGAGTTTCACATTGGGGAAGAAAATCTCGGTTTGATTCTGCAAACAACGGTACAAGCTGGGATACATAATTATAATCAAACGTATATTCATACGTGTATAAAGTCATTTCCGCTTGAAGAAATGAAAGATTATTGAATTGTTTATGTTAAAGGATTATCGCTAGACTGCGAATTTATGCCATTACAGTGAATCCTCGATGAGTGTTCGAAGACCCCTCGACACTGACAAGAAGAGGTCCCCAGGTGTAGCGCTGACTTTTTATTGAATTCTAAAGTCAGTGATATATGTTGCAGTCGCATATGGTCATTAGTTTATGAAATATATACTATTCAGTGCCGATAAACCTTCGAACACTCATTGAGAAGTTACTGTATAACTAATGGAACTCTGTGAGATACAATAAAAGACAAAACTTCCATCAGATACAATCAGTTCTTCTGAATTCAATAAGATACTTAAGACGAGAAAGAAATTCTTACATTGCCTTTACAAATTACTTTAGAAATGTTATTTTCCGTAAAACTCCGCGGTCTAATTATCACACTCACGCCAGGAACATTGTCGGTCACCAGAAGAGTATCATTCGCTTCGGTCACTTCTATTGTATAATTATCCGGTTCTAGGTGAGGCTCGTCCCAAACAACGTTAAGGTCATAGAATTGGTCATAAAGATGTCTGTGCTCAGCCTGCAACCCTTCCACTCCAGCTGGGGCTAAAGTGTACGTATACCCGTATTAGAAATTCATCTGCGAACTTTGCTAACAAATATATAACGTTATTCGTTTATCGATTCATAGAACTAATGAAAAGTGTTGAATGTATCGGAATACACATTTAATAAGTCGAAATTGTAGAGAAACGTTTGGTGATGGTTATACGACGTTGAAACCGTTGAGAAAAATAATTGTTCGACCCTTAATAACTACCACAAACGTAACCCCAAACTACCTTTGTTACGTTTACTCCAAAATATGCGAGAGAACTGATTTGTTTTATAATAATATTATCACTATCGATAAAATGAATGAATACCTAATAAATTAATGTTACCAGTTGCTACGCTAAAATAAACTTCATATTTGGTGAAATTTCACCCATGATAGTTTTTAAGGGTTAAAGAAATCAAAATTCTCATGTAAATGGTTAAACAATTAATGTTTTAAACGTATACAAATGATTTAGAGTTAACGATGTCGTAGTGAGAAATACTAATATTTTTGAGCTGATACATCAATTTTAATATTCTCACCGCAAATGGTCAAGTTATTGTAATATTCCAGGCACGATGGGATGGGAACGAACTTAGTATCCACAGTGTCTTTTCTGTTGTCTCCGTTAACCGAAATGACTGACACGCTATAATTTTTATCGAATGCCAAACAAACCGTTTTGAATTGGAAATCCGTTTCCTGTAAAACAAAAAAAAGCTTATTTTCGTGGGAGATACTCGGAATCGCAAGCATATTCTCAATCAAAGAAATCGAAACGTAGAGTCGGTAATCAACGAGATATCGTTTCACTGTAAAAACAGATTTAACGGTAAGTATAATTACCTTGTCCAAACGATAGTGCATATAATAAAGTTCTCCATCCCACAGTAGTACCTCATAGTTGCAATTGCGATCTGAAATTGTCATATGTATGTATTTAAAAATCTGTCAACACTAATTTGGTTGAACATTAAGAAATATTAATGCGTATTGATATTTTTCAAGGTATCAAAAAATGGGGTAATTTTTACTTATTGTCAATAAGGGGTAATTTCGATTCATTACCAGTCAGGAGTAACTTTCTCCCAAAGTCAGAAAATTATCACTTTCGATTTTGCAGCTCTTTTAGAGGTACTTTTACGTGAAATACCTTTTCACAGAAAAATTAACTCAAATTAACAATTTTCAGAGTTGCAAAACTCGAAAATTATACTTTTCTGACTGGGGACAAAGTTACCCTGACTGAGTCGAAATTAGCTCAACTTACGGTATTCTAAAATAAAATAATATAAGTTTAAGCTTAATAGTAAACATATATAATTCCGTCCTATACTTCTCAAACTCTCCATTGGTTGAAAAGCGGGGTAGTGAGGGGGGGGGGGTGGATGGCACAAAATTGTTGTAATTAATAAATCTTAAAAAATTGTTTTAAAATTGATTCTAAGTAAAATCAAATATCATTTAATCCTAACAGATGCTTGATTATAACGAACAATGCTTTGTTATATTTTAACAAGTTAAATCCCATTTATTTCTACATTTAGTACAATTTTTAATTATTTCAAAAGGGAAACAGTAAACAAAATATTATTCAATTATTTGTTGACATAAACGGAAGGCTTAGATCGAGACCCCCCTTGAAAGTGGGGCCCGGGGCTATAGCCCCCTCTAACCCCCCCTTAATCCGGCGCTGGGCATACCCTGTCATCCGGGAAAACGCATTCTTATTACCTTTAGCCGGTTCGAAGGCAACTTCTGCGAGCAGACTGCGCCCATTATTCTCGTCAACCTCCAGTGCCAACACAGATATATTTTTCACCTGTAGCGGTATATAATCGGCTGGAAAAAAGAAGAAGAAGCTTGAGAAATAAATCAGAAACTTTTTTAAAATTCCAAGTAACCCCGGGGATTGCACCGTGAAAATGCATTGGCGGTGACCGCGTTATTAGGGCCGATGATTCACTTCGAAATTGATCGCCGGCGAATAAGTCTCTTCTGAGAATTTCTTTTTTTTTCTGGTAAACCGAGTTCACCTTTCGGAATTTTCCTAACACGAGAATGGAAAAATTAAATTTGTGTAGCAGTGTTCGTTTATCGTATCTTGTTTCGACATGCAAACGGCCTATCTACCCGTCGAAATGAGAATCAGCAACGTAGAATTTATCGACGACCGGCACAGACACCAGACGATCAGATAAGATCGCTCTCTTTCTCTCTCTCTTTCTCTCGCGGCAGAACGAGAATAAATTTTACATTTAACACTATAGAGTATCGATAGTTTTTTTTGTCTTAATCGTGTAATATCTATTGGATAGGAATTGCCTAGTAAAGAAACGATATTGAGCAATGATCGAGGACAAATCGGCAGAAAAGTAGTGTGCGGTAAAACAGTTGGCTTAAGTAGTATAGGTGACGTTTATATCAGCCGAGGGAAGCATCGCTTAACTTTCGCGTCTCGCAACAGAGATGAATAAAAATTTTATCTTCGATACTCGATGTTCGATTGAATGGTTGTTTAAGTACGTGTCTTCTGGCCTTAAATTTGATATTTTATTTTTTAGATGCAATCAATAATCTGTGCATTTCGTTGCATTCGACCTCCCGAGAATACGATAATTATGCCCAACAGGTGATTTTGAAAGATTGTTTAACTTATTATGTGTTTCTTTGTAAAAAAAATTATTACACGGGGCCTGGTATGGTAATTTGAAAGATTGTTTAACTTATTATGTGTTTCTTTGTAAAAAAAATTATTACACGGGGCCTGGTATACTAAAAGTTTATAATCGAATCTATAGATGCTAAAGGAATTGATAGCTTGAAAAGAATAATTGCCAATCCAATAAACATTCTCTAGAATTTAAATTCTCATTCGATAAATAAACAGAAACAATCTTTCAACTCATTGTGTAAGTGAAAATAAAAGCTTTATCGTATCGATTCGACAACTAAAGTGTTTACCTTCGTACGTTGAAAACCAATCCGTCATTTCCGGTCGTAAAATCCCATCTTCCGTTATTTCATAGAAACGGAATCGATAATCGGTACCCGCTGTCAAATTTGTGAACGTTGCCACGCTGCCCGTGATCTATAAAATAAATCTTTTTTGTAAGGTACACATTAACTTTACATCGGTATATGTATTGGCAGATACAAAAAAAACAGTAACAAAAAGTGACTTTTTTTATATGGCTGCGTTATCATTACAACAGTGATTCATTTGATAGATTGGAGATTATAAAACGTTTATCAGTATTCATATACTACTTAAGTGTTACTAATGTACCAACCAGCGCCGGATCAAGGAGGGTTCGAGGAGGGACTGCAGCCCATAAGCCCCACGTTCCAGGGGGGCTCCGTTCTGAACCTTCCATTTCATTATGATTAAATGTTATTTAATTTTATTTAAAATAAATGTCAATTTTTTAATATTTATATATTCTGTTGTGCTGTATTACACCCCCCCCCCCCCCCCCCCCCCTTAAAGGGGCCCCCGAAAATTTGATAGCCCTGGGCCACGAAAAATCCTAATTCGGGCCTGATTCTAACGTGTTCACGCACAATGCTCTAATACTGTATTTATCATAGTAATATACTAAAATTCGATCAGTTCTATGTTGCTTCTATGTGTTTCGAAAAAGTATCATTGTTAATACAAAGTTTCCTTAATGTCCAAAGTGGACGTACAAGTAAACGAAAGATAAAATTGAACATTTTCATTTTACCACTTTCACAGGTCTCCATGTGGATTCAGATACACTTTGTTCGATTATGTACATTCCTGGATTGAATTTCACCGTCATCTTTTTGTCGGCGATGCAGTGAAGACTTACATTGGCTGCCGTGTACTCGTCCACCGTTGGATCAACTGTTACCGAAAGATTTTTTTTATAGAGAACTTTACTTGCGAAGCATGATAGATTAAGAAAGTAATACATCGTAAACTGAAACAACGTTCTGGTCAAACTACGAAAATATGATTGTTTATCAGATTGTTAATATACATCGACTAGCGATGTTAAGTTGATTACAGAAATTTTTTGTAATAAAAAGCAACTAAAAATTAAATTTCAATCTCGAGTCATATTCACCCGAATATGGTGCACAAGTATTAAATTGATGAACTTGTACGAGAATTGATTACTCCTCGTACAAATAGACGATTGCTTGACACCGAAAAAGTAAGTTGTTTCTATAGTTTATCAGTTTATTAATAATTCAACGAAAAACATTCAATCGTTTGTATATAAACGAACACTTATTGAATATCTGAAAATTCTATAATTTGCAACAAAAATTGTCACACTCACGGTCAATTTCGTTCAAGTAGTTGGAACAAGCATCTTGTTTCGTTTCCTGAAAAAAAACATTATACAATATGAGGATCTGTTGCCACTTATTATAAAAACAATATTAACAAATTACAAAGTAAAAGAGTGTAATTTAAATTTTTACGATGACGGTTGTTAATCGAGGCGTTGTATTCACACTGTGGCTCGACTATTAGTAAAATACACGTGAAAAATGTAAATAGTAAGAGAAATAGTTTCAGAGAGCGTTCCACAGAACAGTCTCATAATTTCCTATGAAAGTCCAAGGCACGATTACGTAAACCGTGAGCATAATTTTATCGTAGTCTATTTAGAATTTAAATGAAATTCTGGAATTTTTACTTCTGTATCCATCTTGGTTACGAATCTCAATAGAGAGCATCGAAACATTTGTTCATAGGAATCATTTGGGAGAGAGTGAACAATTTTAAATTAATTTACAATCGATCAATTAGGGCAAGCGTGAATGAGTATAAACATTGCAAATTTGAATAAGAATTTAACGAATATTTCTGATATGTTATTTCTAAAATGAGTTCATACTTTCATTATCATTAAATTGATATAATGGTTTTATTTGATTTTACCAACAGAAAATTTAAGATATTGATAATATCATTTTCGACAGCAAATATCGTCTAGTATATTTCTACTGTTTACTTATAATCGACGGCGGAAAATCGCAAATAAATATAAATTATGGTAGAATAAAAGGCTTGGAGGCTTCGTGGAGGCTCTCGAAACTTCAGTCGCCTCGGTCCGCGCCGGTCACGCGAATTATCATTGTTACGGAGATTTCATATGCGTACATTGATATATTTATATATGTTAAGCGTATACGAAAGCAGGAAAATCTGATCAATCCGAGGATACGACACTCCATCTTGGATCGTCAGTTACTGGAATTTCCTATGCGTTCCGAAACACGTAGGTCGACCTTCTCGTCTTGCGAGAACAAATCCGAAGGACAAGGAAATGCGCTGTTTTCGCCGAACAAAATTGACAAAGATATTTCGGCGTGGCCACTCACAATCTTGTTGAATAACTGTACATTTTTTCTAGCACTTTTACGCTTTATGAAAAAACTTACTTCTATCCTTTATAAAAATAACTATAATAATAATAATAATAATAATAATAATATGTCACCTACTTTACACTCGCATACATGTACAATATTGGACGAAATAATCATTTAATGAGTTTTAAAAAAATACGGTCGTCTTCCCCAAGTAGCACATGACACCTTGAAGACGCCCATTTTACGGCTATTTTAGGTCTGAGGCGCCTTTAAGCCGTCTACAAAGCATCGTGTGCTATCTGGGTATGAACTATTTAAATTTTAAACGCAGCCTATATGTTATAAAATAGCTGTCGTCCGTATTTCTTTAGATATTTTTAAGCAAAAAAATAGTACCCACTGATAGTACTAAGTGCACCGATAAATAAGACTCTATTTTGTTAAAAAAAACTAGAAGCTCGTATACTTTTAATAATATTCATCCTTGTTCTCCAACGTCCACGCAATTTTGATCAAGCGAAAGGGCGGGAAGATTATAAATGTTTCTCAAATCTTTGCATTCAAATGCTATCAATTTTGCTAACTATATAATTATATAATATTTTAACGACATTTCGAGAATCCATTATTAATCCTCATGCTATAAATATTATTTACATAAACTATCTATTTAAAAGAAAATAGACAATTATCCTAAGAAAAGCGACTGATTTTAATCATGGATAGTTGTAACCGTTTAATCCAGTTGACATATCATTACTCCACAACACAAATATACGTATAAAAATTAATACATTTGCTACTAAGCGTTGCGTACTTGTATAAATGACGATTTTCTCCTCTGTGTCAATAAAACCAAATGATGTTTATGTCCATTCTTATTTAAAATCATAGCACATGACGTAATATTCAAAGAACCTGAATACGAGATGTCCCTTTGCTACGTTGCTTTAATATTCCATAAAGAAGATGCGTAGTATTCATTGAAAACACGGAGAATATGGTACAGTCTGCGAAAAATGTATATAATGTACGATGGTTTTGCGCAAAATACTGATCTTTATGTATTTACTTTCAGAGTTACTTTCTAGTCTATAAACGCGTCGATTGTATTTAACAGAACATTGCTTCCTTTGTTACGCGTATACATCGAACCATTTCCAAGCGAATTAAATTATTGCGAATCGAAAATCGGAAAATTGCGTCGAACTCTTCTGTCCCGTTCCCTGAAGTGTAACATTTTTTGCCAAATATTGATTAATTGAATGCTTCTATATTTGCACAGTTGTCACAAAACTATGATATGATCGATGGCAGGCGACTGTGTATATTGTCTCGAGGAATAATGTACGGGACGCAGTGAAAAATAATGTTTCAATTCGTTTAAATGAAATATTATTAATTTTAAAGGAACAAAAATGCGATGACTGTTCATAAAGTCGCGAGACACATTGTTTCTTCGCAGAAATGGTTAGAGTATTGTAAACATGATTGAATTAATTTAGAGAAAATTAATCTAAAAAGAAGAGTAATTTCCATTAAAAAATTGTCACTACGCGAATAAGTACCATTTTATGCGTTATTTTGCATATAACATAAATCTGTTTATTAATGATTGCTGGTAATAACTGAAGTCTATGAATATTTGTCGATAAACAAACACAAAAACGTGATATAATAGTATGCAGAACACAACATGAATCTTAAAGAAACTGACTCAAATCCTAAAATGTAGAACGCACTATAATGATAACTAAACATTCAAAAATGAATTCTTTTTTACTGATATTTATTTCACGACTAACTGTCACCACACTATCGTTCATCGGTTCGTAATTTATCATTCCATCAATCCATATAAAACCAAAAAAGATAATATCTCTGTCGTTAAAAGTATATAAAAAAAAATCACGAACACTACAATAAGAGTATCATTTGACCCACGATCGATGCGCAAGCGAAGCAAGTTATTCCGCTTTCGTAGTTCCATGAAAATAGAACCTTAACCTAGAACAACTCCACGATGATCGTGTTCAAGACTGAAATCTCATGGCAAAATTGATATTCAATTCCAATTTTCACATTAGCATGAATTTCTTACGTTTAAGCGGGTTGTCAAGCAGTCGATCAGCGTCGAGACATCCTCGAAGGAGAGCACACCACCGGCGATGACGGGAATCAGCAGGAATCACTGCGTTTATTCACTGCGATCACGTGGAAATTCACTGGTTAAATTTCAAATATTTTCGCAGGACCAAAAGAACGTTTGAAACTCGGACGTTGTTAAAAATAATTATCATCGAGACAAAGTTCTGGTTCAACACCAACGTCTCACGGTGGTCGGGTATCAAACGCGTGGACGGGCCGAAATCGGTATCATTCTGATCTACTTGCCGTGAATTTACAGAAACTAGAGCACTCTCGAACATCACGTGTATGTGTTCGCGTTTGAAATCACGGCCGAGCCATTTGCTGAGATCACACACGATCGGTGTGTACCCCTACCATGGACATTGCGCGCGGTTGTGTGGTCTTACAAAAAGAGGGGACAACATCTTGGAATTATGCGAGTACGTTTCCGAAAGCCCTCTGTTGCTACCACGATCTGGCGTGTGTTCACTCTCGTCCTATTACGAAATCAAAAAAAAAAAAAAGGACGTGTGTTGCAGAAGCGAATCGAGGGAGAATAACTTTCAAACCCTCGGTTCCCTATGACCTGACTACTTCACCGTAAATCTAGGATACATTATTTATTTCAAAATCCTACGGAGTACATTTTCATGTTCTTCGATTTTCCCACGACGATTACCTGAAACATAAGCTAAATTACGTTAAATAAAAAATAAACACGGTCACCGAACCTGATCTTCCAGCACCATGCGACACCAAGTCTGTTTTGTGCATCCTCTTTCAAGAGCGCACGCATTCCAAAATCCTATCATAAATCCTCCAGAGGTCAACGAGCGATAGGCCATCATCTGTCTTCGACTCTACTTAAAATACGGTGACGCTAACACATTAGAGAGTATGCTAGCTGCCTATCTGGTACCTATTATTTAAAAAGAAATGACAAATAAACTTACATTTCCATACATACACCCAGATGCAAATTAACCTAATCCTAGGGAGAACGTCTGAAGGATGCCTCCGACACATGAATATGATACGCATCTTTTAAACTCTATATAGTACACACATAGAGTATATAAGGTACCAGTTCCTGAAATCAGCTAAAAAATATTAGCAGCCATTGCTAATTAATATTACAAGGCTGAAGTTTATATGCGATATATTTTGATAGACTAGAATTGTCGATGGTGCAATGGTCGTTCATTCATTTTTCGTTCGACTGTACAGGATGTGATCGTAGATATTCCATAGAAAATCAACGGTGACCATCGTCCGCGGCAAAGGAACATACACGACTAGTAGACATGCCTACTATTCCATTTCATACAATGGAAAATTATTGTAGTAGATAGTTGAAGGATTCTTATATAAAACCGACGCAATTCCGCGTAGCTTAACCATTGCCAGCCACAGAAACATTTTATAGGAAATAATTACCAAAGTCTTTGTGCACATCGCTTTCACCCAGCCAAACAGCACCTGGACACTTGAATGGATTTGAGCAAAAGATATAGAATCATTGTCCTGAGAATCCTGACTAAAAAGGTGATTAATTCGTGCACACCTAACGAACCAAGATTCGTCTGATCAAAACGATCCGACACTGGGCAATAGACTATGTGTTAATATTAAAAAATGTTTGCGCTTTCACGCAATTTGAAATTATTCAAATATAGTGAGCGTGATAGTAAAAAGTGAAAGAATGTATTATTTTATCTTTTCTCATTTTATCTTGACATTGACGATTGTTAAATTGTATATTATCTGTACATTAAACAATGATAATCCCTAAACAAGTTAACTAATGAAAATATATGTACTTACAACCGATTTTCTTGCGATAAATTACGTTTCAGTAGTTACCGTGGAATTTCATTCGAAGTGACCGTTAACTGTCATGGCGTCTTGTCGGTTGCGCGGCACTTCTGATCGATTTCAAACTAAGGATCTGTAATAGAAACACAACACGGAATCGTAAAAGAATGTAAAATAAATACAACCAAACGGCAATTGAACATGATATACATTATAGTTAAGTAAAAATCGAATTTGAAATATTAGAAAATTGTAATTTAATATAGAATTACTTATATGTGTACCAATAGACACCTATCAGAAACCAGCAACTTTTCTTCCAAAAATCAAATAAATTTCTACCTACCAGTAATGTTAATAGTGTATCGAAGTATTAAAACACAGTAAAGGAGGGTGTTAGTAAAGGTTAAAAGTGACTCGATGTCAAAGAGATAATGAGTACTTACCACGCTCTGCCTGGCATCACCGATACGTCTTATCAATTCGACGACTGTCACACGAATGACTGCGAATGACAACCCCTCACTCTAATCCGCTAGGTAGTAAATTGAACAATAAGTGGGGGTAGACCTTCTCCAGAGAACCTTCACGAAACTGTTAAATTGTATTGGACGTTCTGAAGTAATATTATTATCACATATGTTCGAGGCCCACTCAGGTAAAAGGGAAGATAATAAAGCGACAAATACAGAGGTACAACTAGATCCTTTTAGCCTCTACCAGAAATGTGTTAATTTATGATTTCAACATTCGTGTCATTCACGTAATTAGTTCGTATATACATTGCTGGCACATTTTACCTTATTTAAGTTAGTGATGAAATACACGGCCTGGAGACGAGGCAGGTAAATTATACAATTCCAAATTGCACAATTGTTTGTTGTAAAATAAACAATCCAACTACTCTAACTTATGGCGCGAAAGATACAAATACACAGTCCAGACATTAATTCTGAACCATAAACTTATATAATAGTCTGCGCGCTCATACGGGTGGACTGAAACTGAGACCAAAGAACAGGAATAGTCCAAAAGTAGTGTTGTCTCATTCGCACATCACTCAAAAAGGGGAGAAAGCGCCTGGAGGTAGGGTTGAATACAGGGTTTATTCAGACCTACTTTTGTATGAAAGTATCGATACTTACTCGGTATCAAAACAAAAGTATCGAGTAATGTACTCGTATTTACTTGTATCGATTCATTCCTACCTACAGGACGATGAACGCGCGCTCCCGCGATAGTGTTGGCTACCAATCGCAGCCCGTAGTCAACATTGGCTGCATCAGGAGACAACCGTTGCGCAACCGTTGAATGATTTTACTAGATTTAACTCTGAACGCTACACCCTATTGGGTGAGAGGTAGAAAATCTAGTGAAATCACTCAACGGTACGTCTTCCGAACGCGGCCATTACCGCGGGAACTCGACCGGCAGACTCGCGCTTTCATTGGTCAGGGTTTTTCTTAAACATCTCGTGAACAAAGCCTCGGATAACATTTTCATAAGGAAAAACTTGTTCCAAATCGCCTCACGAGTGAGGGACCTACAACATTTTTGTTACACCCTGTATATGCCTATGTGTGATCCACACCACTGAACATCACGACATAAATGGGAATGCTGTTCCCGTAGTATCTTCTGGAAAATAGAAGCGGGGTGAAAAACTATTTTATTCAGCGATGTGTCTGTAATGCTCAACAAGCGAGGCCATTTTTTCTATGCCCGTTTTACATCTAATTCACATGACGTATCTGTGTTCAAAGAAAAGAATCAAGGATGGAGGAAATTGAGTGTTTCCGCCCATAAAGTTTTCCGCTGTATAAGTAAATTTGTATATTATTATCCAGGAAATTGAATAATTTCTTTATCAATTGTCATGACGCAGTCATGGTGTTGTGATATTCTCGATGACAAGTCCTGTAAATGCAACAATTCCCAGAAGTGATTGTATATTTATGCACATCTTACGCACGACTCTCACAATTTGAAAGCAAACTAAAAAAGTGATCATCATTAATTCGTATACATGGTGTGTATTTACATTTTGCTTGATATTAAATGGCTGTCGACATGTTCGTCGTTAGTGTCAAACTGTCAAGTTAATAACGAACTCGTTGCATGGCACGTTTAATGAAGTAACACAAGTGAGATTAAACAATGTGTTAATTGTTAAGAACCCATATAAACATTGTATTGTGCACTGGAACGGATGACATAGAAATTGTGCATTTGCAAGTGTTAAATATACATTACACTGTTTTTGTATGTTCTAAAACAATACACGCGCGTAATTGTGTAAATAAAGAAATGATACTTTCTGTATTAACAAGTATAAATACTCTTACTAGTCTTGATGAATATTTATCTATAACGTAAAATATAAATAATTATGGCTAATACATGTCATAAACGAAATCAAATTGTAATAATGGCACTTTAATAGAACTGATTTATTAATATCGTAGGATAATTAATATACTTTCTTTGCAATTTTAATTTATGACACATTTCTTATAACATTTTATATTATCAGACTCTAAACAAGAATGTTTTATACATTGTTTGGGTTAGTAATATTTTTTCATTATTTTTTATGCTTATGTAATACATGAAAAGCATTTCTAATAAAATCCGACGAATTTATTATTATATAAGTTTTAATGAAATAAAATTCTAATATGTATGATATTTCCACATATGTTTTAGGCTTTACGTATGATGTCAGCAATAATGCCAGGCATGCATAATGCAAATGATGCTAATCAAACATATGACCATACTGCTGAACGACAGAAACTATTGGAAGATGTATTGGCTGCAGCAAAAAAGTGTCACGTTAGATTTGGTGGGCGTACTGAATTAGCAACAGAATCAGATATATGTGTTACACAACTGTGTCATATATTTGAATCAATCTTTAGCCATGGGTTACGAACAAATTGTATAGAAAAAATTAACTCAGCTTTAAGGTATTTGGAAAGAACTGCATAAAAGATTATTTATTTTTGAGTAATAAAATTTGAATTATTTAATCTGTTTTTAGTAGTTATCATTTGAATGTTTACTGCACAGTGATAACTGTTTAGAAGATAATATTATGTGATGACTAATGCATTAGTGACTATACAATGTGCTCTGATAACTTGTATTTGTTTCTATCTTTGTAGGCATGTGTCTGACATTGTATCTGGTAGCAGTACAAAATTGTGCAATGCATCGGATGCAGCATTTTGGCCGTGTATAAAGGAACAATTAACATGGCACGAACAAGAACGTTTTAGTATACTAAAAAGAGTTCATACAGATTATGGTAGAGGTAGAGCATGGTTAAGAGCTGTTTTAAATGAGCGGTCTTTAGAACGTCATTTACATGCTATCATTGACACTAGTATATTATCTCCTTTTTATGAAGATTGGGCATTTTTACTTGACCAAGAAAGAAGTGCAGTACTGCCAAATGTAGCGGCAGGTATACAACGAATATGTGTCCTTCATAAATTGTTGTTTTATTTGTCAAAATTAACTAAATACTGTTCTTCTTATTAGGACTTGGTAGCATTTTGTTTGCAATTAGGATTGATAATGAAGAATTGGATAACAATTCTAGAGGAAAAGAAATTGAGAATCAGAAAGTTACGCTATCTGAACCAATTATATCAACTGCAATACCAGGTAATGAAATATTTCAAGTGTTACAATAACTGTTAAGTGAAATTTAATATAATTTTATTATTGTTGTTGTAATTATGTGAATATTGAAACTAGAACCTACTTTGAAACAACAGAAGCAAAGAAAAAAAGTACCAACTCATATAATTTCATTTGATAACGAAAACAGTGATGAACCAGAGAATACAGAAGCCAACGTTTCAGTTAGTGCACCTCCAACCTGCTTAAATTCACCTACAGTAATTTCAACTATGAATTCAACATCGTCTTGTATATTAGAATCTCAATCTCAAACACAATCAAATAATGCGAATATAACAATCGATAAAGAAATGTCGGAGTGGGAGAAATGGTAGGTAAATATATTTTTATATATACAAAAGTAACTAATTCTTTTATTTTTTATATAATAGTATTTTTCAAATTTTCAGTGTACCGTTTGAAGAAGAAAAAGTATTAACTCCAGTTACAGATTCAAGTAATATGGGAGGTCTTGTTCCTGTGTCACCTTTAGATCAAACATTAGATGACATGCTAATAGCATTGCCAAACTACTTAGACGTATGTAGCAAGTATACTTATTCTCAGCTAACTAATTAAAACTAAAAAATTTTAATATTCCATGCACTTCTCCATATTTTCCATAGGATTCGTCTGAAGTAACAGAAGCTGCAGTGGAAGCCACTGAACCACTGGCAAGCTTAGATGCCCATGTTGATACTGAAAGTCTAGATGTAGAGGCATTACGAGTAAAACTTTTAGCAACAAATGAAATATTAGAACAAGCTAGGGAAGATGCTGTAGCTAGTAGGTCTCAACTTGCTCGATTACAAAGACAACATCAAAATTATCTTGAAAGACATGAGCTACAGATACAAGCACTAAATAGGTAATGATCTTCGTGATTATATTCAACTGGCAGTAATGTATTCAAAAGCTAATTTAGTATTTCGGGTTTACTATTATGAATTTATAGGGAAAATGAACTGTTAAGACAACAATTACGTAAATATGTAACAGCAGTACAAATGTTAAGAAGAGATTCAGATGTCACTACTGTATCTGAAGAGGATCCATCATTGGATTACAATAACGAAGCTCAACAGTATGAAGAGAAATTAATACAAGTCGCAGACATGCATGCCGAGCTAATGGAATTTAATGCTAGATTAATTCTTCAATTGACTGATAGGTATGAATACTAATTGCACACGCAGCTACTGATAATACGTATATTTTATGCTAATTCTCTACAAATTTTAGAGATAAATTAGTTAAATTATTACAAGCTGAATTAGAGTGTCTTCGCGGCCCGTTGAACGAAGATGACTTGCCATCAGAACCACCATGCCTCATCCATATATGGATTCCATCCGCGTTTCTTACTGGCCAATCTTCCGACATTTATCACGTTTACCAGGCAATCGAAACTGTCTAAACTTTAAATATTCGTGTTTAAGACAGAATTATAACGAAACCATGTTACCTTTTCACAGATATACGTACGTATTAGAGACACCGAATGGAACATATATAGGCGATACGCACAATTTTATGCACTTTATAGAGAACTGAAGAAACATGATACTATCATTACTACCTTCGAATTTCCTCCAAAGAAGACAATAGGAAATAAGGTACTATATACTGTGTTTCAAAAGACGCTTAGAAAAATATAATTATTATTTTACCTTTATCTTCTTTTTTTTCCTTTGTTCTTAGGATGCCAAGTTTGTCGAGGAGAGGCGACAAAAATTACAGCACTGGTTAAGACGAATTGTTGGGAGACTAGCTCAGTGTTCGCCCGCATTCGCATCCAGACCATGCAGACAAACGCTTATATCGCTAATGCCTTTCTTCGGGTAATTAATTTAAACATTCTAATTTACTATTAAACGAACAAATTTTGTTTAGCACTTTACTGACCGGTAGCCTATTAATGGACTTTTAAACTTCAGTACTTATACATAAAAAGCCTATTAATGAACCCTCAGATTAGGGTTAAAGAAGAAATGGTTATGTTATTCTATTCGAATTCTTGTTATTTTTCATGAATTTTATTTGCTACTGTAATTAAATCGTTTCATAAGAGCTCTTTGGCTGTTGATTTTTGAATCTCCTAAACCTAGTAAATAGCAGCCGGTAGGTAATGTGTTAACTGAAACTGATTTGCATAGAAATACATTCAGACTAAAATATGCATTACCTTCTTTTTTAGTGATAACCCTAATACTGAGGATTCTAGGAAAAATAATTCTACAAGAAACACATTTTCTTCTTCCCCTCAATACATGGGTTTGTAATTATTAATGTTTTTATAGACAATTTGTACATACATGGAGTCTTTTTAATTTAATGTTTAAAATACTTGTGTTGTTCGATATATATACGGATTGTTACACAGTGTCATGTAACTGGTGGTACAACTGGGTAGGGGGTGATTCTACGAGAAAGAAAAAGTCGAAAATATACAATAAAATTTATTCACTTGAGACTCCGAAAAAATTGTATTGTATATTTACGACTTATTTTTTCTTCACCAGTTACATGACACCCTGTATATACGTATATATGTATTGTTGACTATTGAAGAAATGAGCATATGCCTGTGTGTATACAACCATAATTAAACATACATCCACACATATGCTGTTTATATACGATAATCTGTACAAAACATTCATATGTAGTAAAAATAATTAAAAGTTACTTTTTTTTTTACAAAAATATGTATTATTTTTTATGAATGTCTATATAAATATGTATAATATCGTTTAAAAGTTATAATTCATGCTCAAAGAGAACTCTAATTCTACCTCCAATCTTTCAATCAGTTAAAAAAATATATTTCTCATATGTTATATAAATTTGTTATATATAATACTAAATAGTTTATAATGGACATGAAAAAATATTTTTTTAATGTAGTTCGTAAAATAAAGAAATATGATGAATTGAAATTCATCTGAGAGATGATTGATTAATATAAAAATAAACATAAGGAGATTAAATAGCTGTAGACAGTGAAACAGAATGCAAAGGATGAAGTATTACATGCTGTTACCATTAAATTGTACAGTATCGTGTTAAATCTCATTTTTTAAAAATTTTATTCATGTAAGGCGCCTTAACAGTAATATAAAAAGGTACACTTTTTCATTTATACTTTATGATAAAAATAAAAGTGCATATTGTTATTGGAACAAGTACATACAGTATTATGCTGGTAAATAATACAACTAATCGCATATAAGATTCACAGGTTTAACAAGTTTGCATAGGAGTCTCACTATGGAGAGGTAAGATAAGAGAGAATTCTCCAATGAACCAATTTGTCAAAGAACGAATTTCGCGCGTGAATCGTTGCCCCTCGAGCGTGACGCTTGTCAAACAATAAACATACACGTTCCAACAAGAAATTTCAATCGTAATTTGAATCGATTATTTGTACTGACCAATAGACACATACAGACTGCGTGGTTTTTACCTTTCCATATTGAGATATAAAAGTTTCTTGTAATAGCAAAGTTTATCGAGTCATTAATATAATAATCATTAATACCTTGACCGCCGAGTTGTGTGGAACCGTAATGCATTTTTCTGTTACAAAGGAACCAACGGTATTTATTGTTATTATAGGTGTGTTCGACGATGGCGCGATACGAACTTCACTTTGTTGCTCACTTGTGCAACAAAGTAGAGACAAATCTCGGTAGACCGATATTTGTCGGATACAGGAAGTGCTGGGTACACGATCGGTTCGAACATGTATATGTATATGATGGAAAATTCAAATGAGTTTGAACAGTGTTCGAATCCAGAGAAGCTTCAAACTCTGACCAAAATTCGAATTCTTACAGGGATTTGAATTGTCGTCAAAGTTCTAATGCTTGAAAATATTTAAACACAAGAGTCCCAAACTCTGTAAGAGCTCGCAGATTCTTTTAATTCCGAACATTGTTCGACCTAATTCGGACTTTTTGTCATACTTATACAGGGTGCCAGAGAACTGGTTGTACAAATCGAGAGTGGGTGATTCTATTTAAAAAATAAATAAATTGGAAGTGTAGAAAAAAATTTGTTTATGCAAGGCTTCGCTTTCAATAAAAGAAATCTTGAAATTTCTAGCATCATTGAGATTGTGAGTCTGATCATTACTAATTATTTGCACTTGTATCGTTGTTTATAAACATTAATAGTGGTACGATATTATCTGTTTTCCACAATAATTTTATATAAAATGATAGTTAAGAGGTGATATCAATGGAAAACAAATGTTTATTACAAATTGTAACAGCGAATAATAGACATAATATCTGCCGTATTCGAAAGCAGGTGTATACCCATACATTTTGGAAATTGATTTTTAGAAAAAAGAAGCACCTCATAAAAGAAGGTGTTATTTAACATTTTCGACATACTTTGAAATATAGAACCACTTTCTTTTCAATCGTACTATCAGATTGGTGACATTCTGCATGTTCGAACCTAATTTTTCGCGGATCCATCACTAGTTACAGAGTTGAAGTCGCTTACGTTTAATTCGATACGGGCGTATCGAAATAAGTAAGACTGCGTGGCAATCAATGTATTAATTGTAATTACATACGTTTTAAACGAATCTATGGAATCTATTGTTATTAGCGCGTCGCAATCGTAGCATCATAATCATAGTAAGTTGTGTAACGTAACGATACGCGTTTACATTACTTATAAAATCGATTACAAATCAGACACATTCATTTCCAAATACGTTATCGTACAATGTAATAGAGTTTGTTTTACGAGAGGGCGAGAAAATAATCGAACGAATCCGTTAAAGTACGTCGTTTAATTGTTTTGTTATAGCGAATCGATAGAGATGGAAAGCGATTAATACAAAAACGTTTAACAGAAACGTAAATGAAAAAAAAAAGAAAGAAAGAAGCGGTAAGGAGAAACAGAGAAGTTTGAGATTAAAAGTATTTAAAAAATATCTCTAAATATACGAACCATTAAAACAATTGTGTATCAAATATAAATAACGTATAATAGTGATAAAATACTCGAAAATAAGGCAATAATATTCGTGTACATACTAAATCTTATATTTTAGTTTGCCTTTATATTTTGAAATTCGATAATGCACGAAAAATACAATGTATAAACTTATCACTTAAAGAGAGTATTTTTATTCCGCAGAAAAATATGAGTTAATCTATACACATGTTACGTTTCATGAAAATTCACTGGACTGATGTGAATGAAATCTCGACCGTGTGAAATTAAAATATTTTACAATACTGATATGCGCGGCGTTTACTCAAACAGAGAATAATAAACAATATATCCCTTTAAAATGCATCGATACCTCGATTTACGATTCACGGAGATGCGTGCGACATTCTCTAACATTTAAATTCAATATTGATATCGTCGGAATAAGATGGAAATTTAAGAGAACGATAAAAAAAGGATTTAAAATTACATATAATAAAAAACAGAGGAAAATATAAGTTCGACATTTATAAAATTTCAATCCAAAAAGGTAACAAAATTTTTGCAATTTCGATATTAAAATTCTTAAATTAATATGCATGTATAAAAAAAGGGAAGTTAACGTTTTACTATGATTTTGATAATTCCATTGTGCCGTTCAGAAAAAGGAGTCTAATCTCAGTTGACTATGGACAGGCCATTGGATTCATGGTAATATCTTTTTTTATACACATTTTTAAAAGTTCCCATTGATCCACAAGTTTTCTTCTCCTTTCGTTCAACGAACTTTCGCGAGACGCACCAAGAAGTACAGAATTCGTTAGCCTTAGTCACTACGTTCCGTACAAAGGTTTCATCGTTAAACGGCTTTAAATTATTATTTACATTTACTAGCTCTCGTCGCTGACTAATTTTGATTTAGCCCTAGGACAGATTCAAGAGTCGATAGATCCTTAATATATTATTTAAGTTATTGATTTTCGATGTACCGTTGCAATCTGCTAACACTGTTTTCGATGATTATACACTGTAAGATATTCTGAATAGATTAACAAATAGTTCATTAATCAAGGAATTCACATTGTAAACTTCCAAAGAAGCATCTATAAGAAAATTGTTTTTACATCAATATGCGAAATTATACATTAAAAAGTGTAAGACAATTAAATTTTAAGAATATAGAATCCTTAAGTGTTCAATTTAATCAAATACATATTTGCAAATTTATATAAATATATACAGATAAATATAATTTATATCGAATTATTGCACACAATAAAAAAGGTTTTGTATCTCGACGCGCTTATAATAAAAAAAAAACAATAAATAATATTTCATATATTTATTATAAAAACAATTAGATAAAAACTGTATTTAACTTCACCAAATATATAAAAATTTGTTTTCATTCTCTTTATATCTAACTTTTACTATACAACGTACATGTTTTATGCACTTAAAAAAAAACTCATTTGCAAAATTATGTGCAACTTATAAATTACAGTGTATGTTCAACAATTATTGTTCTTCGGTTGTTAAGTGCGAAACTACAACGATACGTCAGTGCACAGTCCTAGGGATAAATGAACTCGTAATTGACATAATCATTTTGCCATTCTGAAGCCTGCTCAGATTTTAGATATGTAGAAAGAATGTACCGAACAGTAGTCACATAAGGATCGTTTAGTTAACGAATCATAAAGGGTACTCCCTATATCGTTTCATAGGTAATATAACCGGAGAGAAATATTTGAGCCTAATTCCCCTTTCGCTTTAAATTTAGATATATCCAAATAACAGGTAATCTTTAGTGTTAGCAGTCTTGACACACATTCCTCTGTTCATGAGAATTGACAACAAAAGCTAACGATTAATGATAACACATTATGCAAGTACATGAAGGTTAAAAAGTGGAGCCTTATGAGTGTAGTAAAAAATAATAAGGCTAGCCTTTTCTCTAAAGTAATTTCCTCCTCTGCTTATTAGTAAAAGTATGAAACGTTTTTTTCTTTATTCACTATGATTAATACAATGTGTTTACGTTAAAACATTCTTTTTTTTTCTTGTTCTTCTCCGTTGAAGTGAAAATATGCCAACAGATGAAATACGCGATAGATAAGTTTCTCTTCTTTTACTCGTTTCTTTTGGAGCGTTTGTAAACTCGATCGTTTACATTCACATATATCCTTACAGCAACGGGATAATGTCATTTAGGTCCATAGCGAAAATAAATAAAAGAAAATCTTCTTAAGCTAGTAGATAGCAGATTAGTTTTGTATTGTATACTTGTTAACTAGCCAGTGCATTTTTGTATATATCCTGACTCTCTGATTAACCTTCCTGTCTATTAGCACACTCTGCCACGCATTCTAAGGCATGAACTTCCTAGTGAGCTGGATAAAAGAGAGCATAGACCAGTGTGCCAGGTACTTTATGTGTTAACATTTTTTTGTTTCCTTCTTCACTGTTGTAGCTAGATACATTATAATATTAGAAAGTATATTACTATTGTATTTAAAAAACTGTTCTTCCCTGCTCTCGATCTTATATTTTATTCAAGATCCTTATTCCACAGACCGTAACTATATAAAATCGTTTGCAAAAACGTTCTGTATTAGAAAGCAAAAAAAAAAAAAGAAATCGAACTTCTTGAGTGTCTATGCTGCATATACTAAATAATAAGTTAACCCATCACACGAATAACTCCCGATCATTTTTTACACAGAGTACAGTAGTTCATATCAAAATATTTCTCACAATATTTGATATTCCTTTGATTATTCTTATGATAAAGATGAAAATTAAAAAAAATCGCTGCTAATTACGAAATTTAATAGAATAAAATCGTTCTGCAGGTCGCACACGTTAAAAATATATGATTTAAAATGCTATAGCGTATGTTGGAGTAATTAAATTAGTTCCTAAGTTCCTTCCTTCGAAGTCCATTACACTCATACAAAATCTTTTATCTCGGTAGTACGACGAGCTTCACTGTTATTCGTGGATGGTTTAATCAGGATTCTGATATTACAACACATGCACACAGTCATTTGTATAGAACGCAGATTATAAACCTTCTTTTTTTTCTCTACGATCCGCGCTTATACAAATACCTACAGTCACACCAATAATGTGCCTAGTTAGGGAGCCATTTGTATGCACATCTGATACCACACTGGCTTAAAGCACATATCGTCACATGTCACCCCGATCAACGTTTAATCTTACCACTCTCCATATTATTACTCATTAATTACCACCTTGTATCGTTAGGTTCACTCTATCATACATCCGTCAACCTGTCATTACATGCTGTATTGGTTGTACATATTCAGATAGTAAACTAACATAATACAAGTTAAACCAAAAATTTTGTAGCCCTATGGTAATCTATAAAGTTAATAATCAATAAAATATACTCTTGCGATTAACTTAAGTTTCATAAGTTTCTTTATGACACTGAACACTATAGTTGAACAAAGTGTTTTTACTGTTGAAAGTAGAAACCTTACCATCTAAAAAATTACTATAAAAAGAAGCTATGCAAAGAGTGTACATTTGCACACGTAATACAAAATAAAACCTATCGTGACAATTTATCTTACATATGCGACATTAAAAAAAAGAAAAATGAAAGGGTAAAGAATGTGTGTGTGTACGTGTATAAAACTAGTGAACATATATCTAATATAAAAAAACGAAATAATGTACCATAGGGATACATATTTTCGAGCTCCTCATATAATAATTTTGAATATATTCTCAGCGTACGAATAATAATACAAAACAATACAAAATTCTAACAAGAGTTTGTTTCCTTTCTTTCGTCTCACTATGCAAATCGAATCGTTCGAAAGTGATAAAGATCTAATGAGAACATTATAGAGGGGTACTAATGTACATATGTAAATCCAGGCACATGTACCCATTTTGTATCCGTATAATTTTGCCTTTCCCAACAATCAAATTTAATACTTTTCGACATTTTGAATATTTGTCCCTGTATACAAAACTAAAGTCGTTTAGCACGTTTTAGCACTAAATTTAGAATACACAATTTTCTTAGTCTTTTTCCCTGTAGAACACAATGTTTATTCCTAAATGTCGTTTTTCTTTTCCCTTTAGTTATCACAAATTATTGTTCCTCGTATTTTTTTTTTTTTTTATTATTGTTTCGAACGTTTTTAACGGAGCTCTCAAATGCCATTCAATATTTCGTATCGATGCAATTAGAACTTTTTTTAGTTACACAATCACGATGCCCGAAAGTTGGGGTGTCGCACTGGAAACAGGCTGCTTTTCGGTAACTTCTTTTTTTTTTGTTGGTGTATGCTTTCGTCTCAAAGTAAACCACTTTCTACCCATCGAGGTCGTTAAAAAAAAATATATATATATATGTACCAATGGGGTTTATAAACATTACTCCATAAGGTAAAGAACAGGACTATGGATTTGGAGGAGGTGTAGTTGGTGTTGTATGCGAAGAGGGTGACGCACTTGCAACCATCGTTGGACTGGCTGGCTGTTGTAATGGCAGGAACGCTGATCCCAAGCTAGGTTTTAACTGGAATGCTACACACGGCTTTGGGCAATAGTCTAGTTTGCTCAAGTCTATCATGGGTCGCCTATACATAGAAATATAATTGCTTCAGTGACACTGAAGTACGTGTGCAAAAATTTATATCATATTTCAAGATCGTAATCACGGACAAGCCTACGAGGAATGCTTGTTCATAATTTGAATTTCAATGAATTTACGTATTCTTTTTAGCTAAAAATACAGACATTATACGCGTGTGCTTGACACGTTTTGTGAAAAATTGCTTTTCAGGAATGGACAAAGCACAGAATACATTATTACACGATTTACGTTAAGATTACCTACGAATACATTAACCCTCGCACACCGATTGCTCGAGCAATTTTTTAATCTATAGTAAAAGTTCCAGTATATTTACCATAGGAAAAGGTTATGTATTCAATTTTGAATGTATTATAGTTGTGAAATGGTTTTCTCAAATGATATTAAGGAAGATACAGTGATAGATAGTTGACTGTCGCAACAGACAGATCAAAATTAAACCAGCATTCAGTGTGCGCAAGTTAAAAGAAACACACATAGTAAATTACCTGACATCCTCTACAAATTTGAGATTGACTTTCTCACAGCCATCAGGTGGTTCTCTTGCTAGGAACCTGTTAATATGAGGAGAGGTACCGAGACGTCCTTCTCTATCTTGTTCAGGGGTTGAACCACGACTTCCACCTTAAAGATAAATTGCAATCATTAAATTAGTAACAATAATATAAATAATGTACAAACATACAATTCACATTACTTAAAAAAAAAATATCATGAGCTCATGCTAACAACATAAACCATTCAATGCACTTGTAAATATACAATTTGTACGAAATAAACTCTACACACAGAAATTAGACTCCATTCCACTTTGCTAATAATATAAACAGGTAAAAATAAATTTCAATTTAATATTATAATGTATCCTGAACATTTAGTTCAGCATTTAATATTCTATAATAAGATAGAATAACTTGTAGTCAATGCAATACACTACAATTATTTGTGTAAAACCAGGAAATAATTGTAGTCGTGTTATTGACAGTACTTAATGCTTTCACCCGCTGTAAAACGTATTGATTGTTTATATTTGAAGACAAAACAATTCATGCACATACTTCAGAATTAAATGTATATTAAAGAAATAGAGAAAAATTCATAAACAGACATGTATCTTCTGATTGACTATTCGGATTTCTAATAGCATTCAGAGAAAAAAATAAACAAGGACAAACAAATTAGACTATGGGATTTTCATACAAAAAAAAAAAAAAAGAAAGGAACTTTTCTGCAAATGTGCGCCAACCTTGTAAGAGATCGCTAGGCGGACGGGAGGCATCCATAAGGCCAGGAATCAGCGGAGACTCAGAATTCCTAGATGGAGGGCCTGTCTCAACAGGCACACACCATAGTTAGTCTGTTATTTTCAATATTTCTAATAACCAGAAATACTTCACACACATATATACATATACTCCCCATTATAATATCCATGTAACATTTTATATATATATATATATATTCACCAAAGTTACGTTGTTATGAATACAAACAACAAGCATCGGGTATCGTTTTGACATTTTATGAAAGTGAATGTTACGATTAGAAAACTTACATAACTTCATCACGAAATTTCCACAGGTATATGTAGTGCGAAAATATTGGTAACTACATCATGTGTCGAAATATTCTTAAATAACACAACGAAACAAATGATGTTGAAATTACCTGAAGAATACGAACTGGAGGGAAGGTCTGTAGCTGGTGTTTGTGTGTTAACGCTGCGAGTAGCCCTCAGTAAGTCTGCTAATGGTGCACGATGTCCTTCTGGCGTAATTTGTTCACGGTATCGTGCATACTTGAAACACAAACATTTATACAGAAATCAACTTTTGAAATTATATCGGACTTTCTATTCAGTTTTTTAACATTACATATACTACTGACTTTGTCTTCCACTGGATGATCAGGATCACTAGGGTTAGTTGCAGATTTGAGAACGAGTCCTTCAATTTCTTGGTTTAATCCTTCAATAGAAGAACGCATTGGAGGCCTCATTGGTTTCATGGGGATGTTCATGGGGCTTGCCTTTGTACTCAAACTAAATTGGTTGTCTAACAGAACAATAAATATAATACGTACATCGAGTTTTGTAAAAAGAGATACTTTCTGTATAATATTGAGCACAGCAAACAAACTTACGTATTGATGTTTGTGAAGCAATACTTGGTAAAAGTACTGTGTGATCTGCAGGAAAGGCTGGTGGTGGTCCACCAGGCATTATAAGTCCAAATGCAGCCGTGCGCTCTCTACTGCTAGTGCCTTCCTTACTTGTACGCTGTAACCTGTATTAAATTTTTTTTAAGTAAACTAACCTTCGGGACACATTTCAATATTTTTTTTGGACAGTCACAAAAGATGATATACTGCTACTTTATAAAAGTGAAATATATATCTCAACTTGTTAATATCACTTTAAAATAGAACTGAAGAATTTCTACATACCGATGCCTAAAATACTTTTCCAATTTCTCATCTGTGGTTGTCTGTTCTGTAGGGTGTCGAGTGTGTAATTTCCTTGGTTCGTTGGACCATTCTTCTGTCTGCACATGAAAATATTACATTACAGTATCTATTTCAGAAAATTGGTCACTGAAAATTAGAATATTTAAACGTTTGGCTGCAGACATCATTTGATTGAGCAGTGCCAAATTTGTGACAGAATACAACGTGGTATTCGCGATCTTTTTATTTATGTAAATATGATTGGTATTTTCATATTATTTTGTTAGAAAAATGTATAATATATATTTATATAAAAAATTGAATAAAATTGAATGCTTTTTCTGAAAAAAAAAATTGACTACCGACTGTGCAAACGTACAAAACGACGAAAAGAAAGTAAATTTTGTGTTATTCAAGAACATAAATTCTAATTTTAAAATGTGATAAAACATTTATTACATTTATTATTTACACAACATATTATATACACGCGACTTCATCTTCTTGACTTCGTGCCTATAATTGAATCGACAAGTAGCGATAATGCATTTGTCGCAGCGTGATTGTGCTCGTCGCTGCTTTAAATGGAATAAGCGAGGAGCGCGATCGGAGTTGTCGCAATTTTAGTGAAATAAGCAAGGAACATGATCACACTCATCTGCAGTCAAACGATTAAGCATAAAAGTGACATGACATACCTGTGTAGATTTGTCAACCAAAAGAAGACTCTGATGAATGTAATATGGATCACGGGGCCATTGTCCTTTTAAGTAGATAGTATCCAACGATGCTGTCCTCCGAATATTTTGGTTTCCACTTAAACTTTCGCTGCATCTTCCACTTAATGTTTTTGATTTTGCTGCAGATAACAGACAATTCAAATGAAAATTTGGCACTCTTTTAGGAAACAGTACGTGTAGTGATAATAATTGTAGTATTGCTTTGTATTATTGTGTAAAAAGAAAACCAGAACCGGGCTATCAAAAATGTATTCGGTTACTGGATGAAATAAACATATGAATAAAATTAAAACAAAAGTATAATGAAAGGACGAGAGAGGATATCATAGATTTTGTAGTTATTTCTTATGGAACCGAGCTAACAAGGAATGTTCGGTTACCGAATTGCAGAATTCTGAAGATAACAGATAATAAAAGCAAAATATTGTTCATTTACAAAATACTTTTGCACATTAATATTTCACATATAACTTGATTTCAATGACAGATTTGCTTATTAGAACGTTAAAAATATATTGCACAATTTATATGTTTCAGACATTTAAACTTTAATGTGCTTGTGATGAAACTTGTACTCACATAAAGAAGAGAATAATATATAACATACTAATAGCTTAAAATACACAAAACATCTCATTAATAATGTATCTCACTTACAGTAACTATAATGTTTATATTGGACAGTATACACGGTATATACCTTACATTTACCACTGACAAATGACATGTAACCACAAACGAATCACGTTAAACTTTCGAAAATACCATTCCACGCGTTGACAAATAACAAGAATGACAATAGTACAATTGCAAACGAACGACAAGGTGTGAGATTCACGCAAATCGTACAGTTAAACATTCGGACGTCGGTACACATCGATGTTTGGGGAAAAGAAACGAATGACGGGGCTGGAAAGGGGAAGATATCTGTTCGTAATCGAGAATTCGAACGAACAGTTCGGAAAACGTAAAATGACAGACACAACAAAGAAGCTGATCGAAAGATAACAGTGTATGGAGTGAGTACGGGGACATGTACAGGACATGTAAACGACATGTACACTGAGGAAGCGAGAGGAGGTGGGGGTGGGGGACCTAGAGGCAGTAAATACCTTTGTAAGAGAGAGAGCCGGGGCTTCGTTGTCCCGAGGAAGAGGTCTCCGGCGAGATGCGGGCCCGCCACGCACTCGCATTCGTCGGCGATACGGTAGGACTGTTGCTGTTACTTTTCCTGAGACTGCTGCCCTGCCGGCCTTGTCGTAATAACGAGCTTACAGGCAGAGTCGCGCGCATTGGGCCTTGCTTCGATGTCGAGCAAGGCGAGGACTTTCGCATCCGCTGTGATCCCGACATTTTGTCATATAGACAGATGCCACTTGGGGCTTCGAGATGCTCGTGTGTTTGGTACACTGTATCGTGTATGTTGTACTGAGAACGGGGCGCCGCGGGCACCGTTCAGGGCACGAGGCCTCCGAGCACCCGCGACTTTGTCGTGCACACGCGCCGACAGTACCGATAGTGCCGACACCGAGGTGACAGATTTCGAATCGTTTATAATGCTCGCCTTCCCGGTGGCGGGCGAGATCCCGTGAACGGTAACAGGGACGACGACGGCGGTGGCGCGACGAATTCACCAACAACGACGAGAACTGTGGCAGCGGCGGCGCGACGACAATGCCCTACGCGTCTTGTCATTTGCAATGTTCTGCTGCTCGCTCGGCACGCACGTCACGTGATCGCCCGTCCCGGCTGGTCATTGGTGCAACGCTAGCCCGTGAAGCGTCGTACTACGCTCACCCGTGGGGGCCGCGTTCCATTCACTACCACCGTAGCACCGTAGCTAGCGTCCTATTCCCCTCTCACTTTCTCGTTCTTTGATCCTCTCTCTTTTCTTCGCGCTTGTGCAGTGACACTCAAATTCACCCTTTGCGGATCACTTCGGTGCCTTCGACACGAAAATCTTGTTTATCGCTTCGTTCCTTGTTTTTTTACGAGTCACCGCGCCTTCATACGATCCTCGTTCAATCGCTCGCTTGTACCGAAAACCACGCGAGTTTGCTACGAACTCCCTGTTCTCCACGGAATCGTGTTTTAATCGAAAGTATGTTTTGGTATACGTGTACTCGACACTCGGTGCGCAACTCTGCTTATATACACCTGGCACGACACACGTACAGACCAGTATGTAGTATGTAGCGTCTTACGTTTCACGTTATGTACGTAATGGAGGAGCACAAGCCGATGAATAGCGTGCGTGAATAACTTTCGTGTACGGGGGCCGTACTAGCACAGGCGTAGTATCCGAGCTTACGTTTTTCAGCCACGGCGCGTGCACGCTACGCTCATTCGATACTCTCGCTGGGAGAAATCTCGAATACATAATCGGTTGATTCGCTGCAAATCGAGTCAATATTACGCGCGAGCTTGATCTCGATAGTATTGACACTACAGCATTTTGTATGGATATTGTAACAGTAAAGTTAACATTTTTACCATTTTCATGGTTTTTCTATTTTATTCTGGAATGCGCAAATTTTAATATGTTCTCTTTTATACGCTAATCGTTTTTTACGAATAATTATTAGCGTATAATATAGACCAAGTTTTTAAGTAATTGAAAATAAAGAACTTCATTTATGTGAATTGAACCCGTATATTTATTTACAATTTTACATTACACCATTTAGTTAATTACAGTATTCCATTAAGTGAGTGATTTATAATAACATATGACTAGATTTAAACATAATTTATTTGATTATAATTAAAATATCGAAACTATAAGATACACTGATAGTAATATTAAATCTACGGCATTGTTAAGTTTATTTCAAAATTGAAACCAAAATGGATTCAGGAGTTTTGAATTTGTACGTTTATACCCTTAACTTAAAATTCACATATTGGAACATGTAATAATAATTTAAGAGATATTACTTGTTACTGCTAAATTAAAAATATTAAAATGAACACAATTATTTTGTGTAGTAGGTAAACTGTTTGAAATCCTGTTTAATAAAGGCACTGACATCCTCAATAATATAACTGTTATTTGTGTATAGTAGCATACATATGTAATTACATGCATCTATAATAAAATTTTGTTAAGTAATGATAAATTACTTTGTTAAACATTTTACAAGGAATGTTACACATCAGACCAAAGAAACTATTTAATGTTATGGTTCCTTATGATGTTTAAGAAATTTTATTACTACAATTTAGACTTTACTCTTATTATCAACAACAATAAACACTATAATTTATATTTAAACTTATAAGCATTATCTTTTAACTACAAATTCGTATTTCTCAGTTACTGAGAATGTTTGAACACAACTTGCAAATATATACTATATTGATATTGCAATTGTCACATCAGTCCATTGTAACTACTCCTATTTACTGATGAAGATCAAGAAGTATCTTATTATTTAATTACAAATAAGTGAATAAAGTGAACTTCCAATAACTGAGAAATCTCAAAAATGGACGCACATATAATATATCTCAAGCTACATTTATGTATGAGTAGGGTAGCAGTTGTACAACCAATAAAATGCAAATACCAGAATATACATTTTCTGAATTACTGAACATCAATTAATCAAATCACTTTTTTTTCACTAATTCAAGATTTAATGTTATTGAAGTATTTGCGATTCCTATCAAAATTTTCTGGACGTGTAAACTTCTGTTTATAATAACAATAATAATTTACACATAAATAAACATATATATTTATATTATATATCCATTTATTTTAATTTATATTTTTATACATATAAATATATATGTTCAGACTATATTTTATACAACAGATAAGAGAAATGTATATGAACAAAATATATTGTGATATCAATCTGTAATAATACTGGAAAAATATTAGCAGACATTTTAATTTTTTTTTTATTTTCTTACCTATTTACAATACACTATTTAGTCATTTTTTGCATTGTTTGATTAAAAATTATATAACTGAAAAATGCACGAATATGTACTGGAAATGCAAAATGCTTTGTATGATTATCAATATTAGAACACATATATAAATTTTATAACAAAATGTGACAGATGTAATAATTCAAACACATTAATTTCGATTGAAAGTTAGTAAAACTGATTTAGTGAAAATAATATTCAAATAGCTCTTTGTAATGTGTTCCTGAGGTCTCCATAAAAAGCATTTTCAACTAGTTCTAGGTATAAAATAAGTACAGGACAATCTTTGCAATTTTTATCATTTTAATGTCCACAAATTAAAATTTTTGCGCTTTATCTTTGAGATGTATTCAGATATCACAAAAGATATATAAAATGCAAGAATATGATGCTACATTAAATAAGCACATTTATCAATAGGAAAATAAAAGAATGTTCATAAGAACACAAAATGTTTCAGATAGAATTCCTTTGGTTGTGTAGTAAAACCATCTTTTGCAACACATATTTTTGCAAGCTTTTTTTTTAAAAAAAAAAGCATTAAGTATCACTTTTATAACAAATGTCATATTATGATTAATGTTTAAAATATTTCTTTTACAGATAATAGATGTATAGACATCTATATAAAAAATAATGACAATGTCACGTTAAGTTTTAATCGTGAAACTAGGTTTCTTTCACTTTTATAACAAAGTAATGACATTAATAAGCATAAAATAATTGATTACATCAATAGGAGCTGAGTATAGAGAGACCAGAAATTTGTTTTCTACACAGTCCATGATACATTACATAGATTTTGCAAATAACTTGGAACTTTAGGACCCAATATTTCAATTAAATTCTTATCATAAAATAAATTTCTTATATAAACTTTCTGCATCTATCTATAAAATATGTAGTCTCTGTATAACTGTTGTGACTTTCAAGTATCCGACTATGGCAATGCAAACCGTGTATTATTATAGTACATTCAGATATTAATTGGAGTAAGTAGTAACACATTAAAGAAAAAGCATCACTTTTACTGATTTTAAGTAAATAAATTAAATTATAACAGACATAATGACACAAAATACTATAAATTACATTATACTAATCAAGTCTCTTCCGTTTTAGGAGCGCGACATACGTCGCTAAGTCTAGATATAAATAAACTTATACCACTTCATATAAGTATTACACATACGTATTTATGTATATGTTGTACTTATAATATCAAATATAATCGATATCCTTTTTACACTGATAAAATTATTTTGATTGATCTAGTTTATAGTTTGTAAAAATTGCATATAAAAAAAATTGTATATAAACGTAGACATATTTAAAATTATGTGTAGGATTACAACAAAAGTGTTACGAAAGCAAGTAATTTAAGCTACAGTAACTGCTTTTACCAATATCTATATTTTTTTATACAGTCGTTTCCCAAGTCTACAACTACTAAGTGATTGTCAGGTAACACTGCAATACCTGAAGGTCGTCGTAATTTAGAACTATGTGAATCAATCTCAGTCAAAACTTTACCTCCTCCTAATTTTAATACTTGAATTATACTGCGTCCCTTATCAGTACGAGTACCAAGTATTCTACCTTCCGAATCAACAGCTAAACCTCCATAAGCGCCTTTTCCTGTAATACATTGTACATAATAAATATGTTTAGATATACATAACATTTACATGTGTAGAAGTAGTAACTTTAGTCAAGAAAAAAATTTACCTTTGCCTTCTGAATATATTTCCTCAGAAAAGTCTCCTTTAGCAGAAAATACTAGGATATGATCATCGGCAACTACAATCTCACCGTTACGTCCAACAGTAACAGCTCTAATTAATTTGAATGTGAATTTCATTCCAACCTAATAATCATTAATATATTGTTAGAACAGATGCTCTTTTTTAAGTACATTAAAGATAGATTTCGTGATTGTAAGTATTGTTCAACCTGAAACAGGAATTTGCCATCAGAGTCGAACACAAAAACATAATTTTCAGAATTGTCAGCAACAAGTATATGTCCGTAACTTCTATCTACAGCAACATCGACTGGTTCCTGAATTAAATAAAAAGGTATTTAATATGATTACAAAGTGACAAAGAAACGTTCAATTTGAAAATTATGTATTAGGATAAAATGTACTTACTCGAAATGCGTAATAAGTGAAAGATTTAATTGTATCACCCAGAGAGCTCATTTCTGTTACTTTCCGTGTTCTCCAATTAACAACAACAATACCTTGTTGAGAAACACTTATTCCTGTACAACTCCGACCTTCGAGACCTTCATTCGTTAAATGCCTTTGAAATTCTAAATCACAATTGAGTACCTAAGAATATAATATTATCTATAACGAAATTTGAATGTTTTGACGATACAGAATCTTAAAAACATTACAGCTTTAAATGTATTATACCTTTATACGGGAGTTCCCAGTATCTAAAACGTATATCATGCCATCATCGTCGACGGCAACTGCAACTGGTTGATGAAATTCCTCTTTTCCACTTCCCCGTCTTCCATATACTTTAATGGGTTCATTATGTACAGTTGCGTCGAAAAATAAAGGATAATCTTTGATAGGCCGCTCGAAAACTGACAATTTTAATACGTAACGACTCGCGACAGGAGGTCGAAACAGTACTTCGTATGTACCATTCTCTAAATCTACAATTTCAGTGTCAACACTAGAACTTTGGTTTTCTGAGTGGATAGAATCGGCTAAAGTTAATTCTGCAGTGATAAGATCTCCTCCAACGTTTCTAGGATGTCCATGATAATCAACAGTCTCTACTATGACAATCGCTTGTAACTTAACTATGGCAGGATCTTTCAACCTGGCTCTGCACAGACCTATTATAAAATTCACGCAATTCCATTAAACGTCATTTTTTGCTCTACAATTATATTATTTATAAATAATAAGGCAATAACGCTTGTATAGTGATTAATAACAATGTTAAAGCGGGTACTTTACTGTATTATCAATCCTCAGGATACCTGGCAATGTTGTACTAGAACGTACTCTTCCCAAGTTACTAAGAGCTTCCTCTAATTGAGAAAGAGCATTATTGTGATTAAATTCGAATGTAATGAAGGCATTTTCTTTAGGTTCACTGAGTGCTGACGCAGCATCAAGTTGATCTGATAAACTACCAATTCTTTGCGTGATATTCCGTACTTCGACCTTTGTAGGAAAATAAAACACAAATCCATCTACATGCATACAAGTAATAGATATACATATACAAATTTAGTACAATATTAATGGTATCATACTTGATATTGTAAACCTTCACATTCTCGTTGCACTTTATTTTTCTCAGCTTCTATAAGAGCATGTTGCTCTTCTAGAACATGTTTCTTATCTCTTGCAGCATCAGCCACTGCTGCTTGCAATTCTGAACGTCTCCTTTCAAATTTTGCAATAATTTCTGCAAATTCATTATCCACGGCATTCAAACATCTTTCTGTAGAAGCTTCCAAACGTTGTAACTCTGTGCTTACAGAATCTTGAGCCTGTGTTAACTAAAACCAAGTATACACTTGTAGAGAAGCTTTTATTCCTTAAATGAATACGACAAACTACTACCTTAGATATACACTCGTTGGCTTTATAGAGCAAAATTTCAGACATTCGTTTTATTGCAATGCTGAAGGGTATGATAGTATGTTCTGTACATCCGGGTGATGTTCCTGTGTGATTACCACCTGTACATACGGTGCAAAAGACTGTATCACATGTTTCACAGAACAAGAGTTCTTGGTTTATATGAACTGAACATTTGGGAATAACCTGCAACAACAACAAAATATATTTACATATATATATATATATATATTACATTTAGCAACACATGTATAAAAACTGTATCGGAAGCATTGTTTCAAACCTCTCGTCTTTGCCTAGACATAAGATCAAGAAGTTGATTCACAAGAAAACTAGGTGGTAAAGCAGAAACTCCACCACGTGGAATTGTTATTAATTCTCTGCAAATAGGACATCGAAAAGCACCAGTCTCACGAGTCTGAGATGCAGCAATCCTTGTTAAACAATGTAAACATACCTGTAAAAATGATTAATTTTTTATATTTAATTGTTTGATAATGTCATACTCAATGATTTTAATACTCACTGTGTGTGAGCATGGTAATAGCTTGGGGGTGTGTTCTTCACCATCATAAACGCAAAGACAGGTACCACATGTCAGAAAGCTTTCATTAAAATCCTCATAATTTATACTAACTGTCTCCACGAGCATAGAGCTCATACTGACCATCCTCTCCCCTAGCCGTGTCCTGGAAAAATGAAAATATTTTAATTTAAATCATATATTTAACCGTTCAGTGATCATATAAAAAAGTTTTAAAGGAATAAAAATATGATATGTAATTCTTATCTTAGAACATACTCCTAATATAATTTTTTTTTAATTTTATGTATTCTTCTTTTTGCATATATTACTAATTAAAATGACAATAAATTAATTAATAACATTCTTAAGAAAAATGATATATTTATTCATTAGTACATTGTGTTTTACAATCAAAAGATAAATTAAAAATTATAGAGATCAAATATTTAATTTTGCAATACTAAAACAATTAAACACTGAAATAGAACAGTCGGTACAGTAGTTTGTTTAATTATCATTTAAATAATTGTTCAATAAACATTTGATAAACATTGTTTGAATCGTAAAGGAGCAACTTGATTTAGATAGTCTGCCTTGATTTTGCGAACGTGACAAATGAACGGATCTTAACGATGACTTCTAATTATATGCATATCGTGAAGTATAAGTGTTTGTAACGATACTTATGAATTATTAAACTCACTGTATAGCCAAACGCAGTGCCTCCATAATGGATTTAGCCCTGTTGTCTTTTTTTTTCAGAAATGCATATATCCGTTACATTGTACACGTTTTATTGGGGTATCTCAGGGTATCTATACAAGCGTGGAATATACCTCGCTTCTTTCGCATAAATTTTCATCACTGAATAAGCTGTCCGACACTAACGGATTCGTCGGATAGCTTCCCCTTAAACCGCATTTCCTAATGACACGATGCCAAACCAGTAAGTAAACACACACGTCGAATTACATTGCATGTAACAACCAAAACACCCGAATTCTTGCGCACTATAGAAGCCAGGAACTTTCTACATACGATTCTTTTTTTACATTTACGATATTTCCATGCGAAATCACACGATGTATTTTCCGTTCTTGAATTTGCATCGATCACGTAGCATCAACAGAATTCTACGTTTACTTTCTATTTTTACGTGATTCGTAATCGCGTCACTTTTTTTTTTTTTAATACTTTCGTCTGGTGGAAGCCATCAAACACAAAGCATATGCCGACGGGGACTCTTTGTCTATTCGTCTTTCTTGGTACCTATTGTCCTCGGCGTGGAAATGATCATTAGGACACATCCGTGAGTTTTAAACCGGCCGCCGACGCAATTCTTGCATTGTGTTACGAATTGAACACGAAAGCGACAGACTTATTAACCGTACAAGACTGTCTCTCCATTTCACTTTCAGGATTGTTTGTCTTCGGGAATCTCGGATGTCATTTCGTACGTCTACTTCGTTTCAAGTGTCACTATCACTCGCGATACACTCGCCGATTTTCGGCCGCATCCAGTCGCTTGATACTGTAGAATTACCTCGATCCTCTGTCGCATTTTTCCAAACAAAATACAAACCTACGGATCACGACGGACCGCATCAGCTGCGGAGCGCAGCGACTCACGTTTTACAGCTGCGCACGTTCTCGCTTGCATCCGCAGCCGGCACCACTAGCAGGGACGAAACGATAGGTGTATGGTGTATGTACTATGCGGGTGCCCGCTGCTACGATTCATCCACGATACATTTCTTCTTCCACTCATAATCAGTGTATTTACGCGAACCTATTTCCGACGAACGTGTTTTCGTCCCGAGACGTTGTTCGAAACTACAATTTCGAATAATTCATTTGCGGTACTATAGTCAAAATGATTTATGATATTTATTGAGTTGATGAGGAAGTAATGTTGTTTTTAGATTGCACTAAGGAGAACAATTGCATATGAACAATTCTTAACTCTTGCAAAAACAATTAATTCTGCTAGTGAAAAGGCGCGTTTTTACAATAAGACACACAGCCGTCGTCAGAGCACAGCAGACAGTGCTCAGATTAAACTGTTTCAGGGATTAAATGTGTATGCAATACGATAAACATTGTTTTCAACCTGTCATGTTATCTAACATGAAAAAAACGTATAAATATAAGCACTTTGCATAAACAATATTTGTTGTTTTTCTAATAGAGGTAATCACTGAGTTATAAAATAATGGGGATGATTGCGGTTTTAATGATCAACATCGTTATCAATTACAGGGAATTATTGCTTGGAATCTACGACAAAGCTATCACAAAGTCGTGGAAGACATTCACGTACACCATATCAGTTTTAAAACGTTTATGCGCAAACCCGAAATTATGAATGAATGTGTATCACACTATTGAAAAGCGACGTTACTTTTCCACCATCACAATATAATGTGGTTGATGCGATAAACACATTTTTGCGAAGGGTATTGTGCATAGATAACATCGTCAAATGTAGCACTTTCAGTGTGTAACATTTTATTGGGTTGTTAGTTATATGTAATAAAAACGTAACGTTCATTCCAATATAACAAACTGGAACTACCTGTTACTACATTCAAATATTCAATTATTTACTGTATGCAAAGTATGCAACAGTTCAGATATACCGACGGGTAATACGTCCCTGGGTATTGGCGCACCGTCAAGCGTTTACCACGAGAGTGAGAAAAAGCATATCGGAGAAAACGGTGGTAAAGGAAGATAGATACAGGGGTCTGCCGAAGGGTAAGGAGACGTGCAGCACCAACGCCGGTACAAAGACGGAGAAATGCTTGGTGTACATACATATATGCTTGCGCGAGGTATACATACGGCATATAGACGGCTGAATTGTCTACTGCGCAGTCGCCCGATAAAAGGTGTAGCGCCTGATGTGTGTATGCTTTGCTTACTTGCATGCACTTGCTACTACCGGTCGCTCGGACAGCTGTATATTTCCTGTAGTCACGAATTTCATGTTTGCATCAATCCCTCGCATCTGTACGCAACACCTTGCAGTACAGAAAACCTGTTTTTTCGTCCACTATTGTTTTCCGTTACATCGATAATATTATCTTCAAGTATGTCCTTACAAGGGTGTCTATATTCTTTTCTAAAACTGCTAGCGCTTCACTATTGTTATTATAACTTTAAAGATTAATTGATAGTCAATGCAATTGATTTCTGGAATATCGATTTAATTATTTTATTTTATAAATTTTTAATTAGCTTCGTTTTAAGCACAGCACAAAGAAAAATACGGAAGGGTGTATTTATGAATTATAAAAAAATAAATATTCCCGTCGGAATTTGAACCTTTGTTAACAGTAGACAAAGATCCAAACTTTTCGATTAATGACAAAGCTGAATACTACCTCTTTGCTATAGCTGAACGACAATTAGAAATATTTAAATTTCCAAGTAATTTTTTATCACAATAGTGAAGCGTTACCAGCGAATTTTGGGGGATTTGTTTATACACATCATGCCCTACATTTTGCACTAGGTTTCATAGGAGGTATACTTCCCATGGTAGTGTCTCATTAAAAATGGTAAATAGATATCGGTAAAAATAAAAAACGAAAACACTATTTCTTAAGGAAATTCAATTGAATATAACTGTATTTATTATAGACTGTCCCCATTGTGCGCATAAATACATATATAATATATGTTTATCGCCATTTTTATCAACCCCTAAGACGCGAGTCACGTACCGCTGTGTAACCTGCGTCAGTGTTTTTGTTTTTGTACTCTTACATTACAAAAGCACGTCACATACTTACATGAATGGACAGCAGTTCATGAAGGTTCCTTTGATAAATTCAGACGATAACTTATTTTTATAGAGGAAATGTATTGACGTGATATATTATTTATGGCGCCACAAGGATTACGGGGCGTGATATGCACACTAACAAAACACCATGATCTAGCAATTGAGAGCGACAGGATCCACATATAAAACTGTTTACAACAGCATCTTCCAAGAAGTTATGTTTAAATATGGAGCATCTGATTTTCTGCCACGAATCCGAGATATCAATGCATGATAAAACATGTGTATCTTCCTTAATTGTTACGAACACCTTAAACGATGTGGAGGCGTAAAGGTGCGTGCAGCAAGGTGATCAGCTGTATTTTGTTCAATGATCGTTGCAACACTTCTAGAATGTAAACAATAGATCCGATTGGCACAAACGTATCCTTGATGCATGTCATGAACCGAAACCGTATGAGTGTCGTATCACACCCACAACAATACTGAATCCATTGTGTGTCTGTCAGTCCGTTAACCCTTGATAATGTTACGGTCGATAGATATTGCGATTTTGGTGACTGCTCCTCTCTACGCGCACGAACTTCGTGTAAAACAATGTTTCAGGTTGAATCGTCCACGAACTCCCGTTAATAACGTCCGCATATACTGATTCGTGAGACGACCGTTACACGGTTTTCAAGCCGAAAAATCGAAAAACAACGTCAGGCCGATTCGCTGTTTCTCACACTGGGACGCACAAAAGGTTTTACCACTCCTAATACAATCCCCCGTGTACAGTTTCCATCGCGCTCGTATTTCGCCCGTAAGCTGCTAGAGAGGCACTATGCCGAAAACGAGAGACAAGGACGGCGATATCGATTTCAGACGATGTGCAATAAGCTCCAGCAGGTGGCACGGCCACCGGTTCTCGTCTTTCACGGCACGCTGTTTTTCGCGCAAAATGACACGAGCAATCCAGACCGGTGAGAAATTCGCGAGACACCAGAAACAGGGGATGAAAACACACCCTCGAAACTGTCCTTGCCCGAGCGCGCATGCGTAGCCCGATTTAGGTCATGTGTTACTTGACGAATGAGTGTAGTAGTTGTGTACATCGGCAAGCTTTTTCTCCTCGTGTCGTGACAAAATTGGAATTGATTGCTTTTTTTGAATTTTCGAACAAGTTATTGCATTCGTATAGTTGTCGTTTGAAATTTCATTACGATTTCACTATTGTCGATCGATCGTAGAATATACGAGGTTTTCGAACGTTGACGTGGTCGGGGTAGCGGCGCGTATCCTTGGCCCCGATGTTGGCAATCTTTGAATAAATGCTACCAGCGATGGAGCCAGAAGGGTTTGCTTACGTGTCGTGATTTTCGCAAGATTTGAATCCTAAATAACCTTCCTTTATCTTCGTTAATTAAATTACTATATGCTAAAATTTTTTCTATTAATATTTTTGCATTATAATCTCAAAATTTCTTGTTCTTATCGATAATTAATTTCATTTAACGTTTCTAGATTTTTTTACTCAGATGCAGTAGAACGTGCAGCATCCTTTTTACACCCGAAACGATTTTCGATGTACGCGATACAAGCATGCGCCATGTAATTTGGGTCATCCGCCACTTGACCGAAATTGCGATTGAAGATTTTTCTAAAGATGTCAGCGTTACACGAACTTGTATTACTATCGATTGTGCAAATGAAATAAAACTGGATTATACAATAAAAACTTTCTGTATAAATTATTTTATTCTATCCTTTAATAGTCGAGTGCGTTTTGAGGACGAAAGTTGACGTCAAGAGTTTCTGTTTGATTTCGTGGATTTTTGAGTGAATAAAATAGAATTTCTACACTCAGATCTGTTATAGTAAATACATGGATATATTGAACAGAATGAAAAATATATGTAACAATAAAAACATATTCAGAACTTATAGCAGTTATAGATAAAGTAATGCAAAGTATTTTGAAAACGTGAATATGTCAATACTTCGATTATACACATTATGTGATCGCGAGATTTTTCCGAAAGACTGACTTACAACTATGAAATTAGCTGTATATATGAAAATGTAAAATTTATATTTCATAACCATACCGTTCTCAACAAGTATAAATATGCAAGCTACTTTGTTTTTTTCTGGTGAGTGTTACACATCTCCTAAATGTTCTATCTAATTTAACGCATTAGATACTCGAGTGACATTAATTCGTGCATATGAGACGTAAAATTGGTGTCACCTTAAAAGCACATTTACATAAGCGTGGGACGTATTGTTGTATGGATACCGTAACACGCGGGGATTACTTTTAAAAGAAGTTATAGCTTTGAATTACAAGATGAAAAAATATGTATTCGTTTTAATAAAATAATGTGACTCACGAAAAACCTATACGGAACGATGCAATTTCATTGGGTATCAAATTCAGGCACGTTCGTTTGGTCTTTCGTTGAGCGTCAGGTTTCATTTTAATGACCATTTCGATGCTGTTTCTTGTTTTAGCATTTTACCGAACCACAAATGGCGTATACAGTTCTAATTAACATCCCGATTTTAATGTAACGTAATGAGAATTTTACAATTAAAAAGTAACAAATTAAATTGCAAAATCGAGACTACCAAGCAGTGTTTATTTAGTTAGATTAGAAATACACGATTTTTAATTAACTGCTCCCATCCTCAATATGATCCTTTATCCACTGGATGTAGCTGTAAACACGAGTGAAAACATCTGGACGTCCTCTTGCACAGGGTACTCCCCAAGATACCACACCGATTTGCTCCATATCAGCAACCAAAGGTCCACCAGAATCGCCCTATCGAAACATTATCAACAAGTTAGTACAACATTTATCTCATACATTTAAAAAAAAATATGACCACATATTCTCTATTCCATCTCAAAATTATAGCATCAGAAACAGCCTTATTTCGACTTTAATGTAAAATTCATAGTAAGATTTATAACTGGACAAACGCTATTCGAATACTGAAATTTCATTTTTGCCATTTACGAATTAAAATATATTTCAATTCAATCAAGTAAGAAAATTAAAAAAGGTAAGGAATTATTCCGCGTGTGTACAATGATTCGTTTGATCCAGAGTAGGTGAAACTGAATAGCACTGGCTGTTACGCACTTGCCAACGTGGTTTTCTCGGACTATAAATAAGAAAAAAGAAAAAGAGGGGGCCGCTTTAGGTGAGGGTTCCTTTGACGTGAAAGGGCCCTCTTCTCAAGTGCGCGACTAGACCTGAATGCACTTACGTGACAAGCGCCTTCACCCCTCTTGTTAAGTGTACAGATATTGTCATTGGTGATACGAAAGTTGGTATTTAAACATTGTTTTTGATCGATCACGCTCAACTCGATACGCTGCAATGCATTCGGTGTATCTCCAGGGTACTTAACACGATTCGAGTTAAAGTACAGTCGTCGTTGTGTTCCCGTTGATGGCATACGGCACAAAAAAAAATACAAAACAACTTAAATAAAGAAACAAACGTAAACGTTACTTATGCCGTGAATTGTGAAAGATTCTTACGCTGGTCGTTCCCCAACCGGACAATACTGCTGGGTAATCAATTTTGCTGAAATTTTCATTTGGTAACGCGACGGATTTCACTGTATCCCCGTACACGATGTCCTTTTCTAATTTAATCAATCCAATATCGTTCCTGATTAACGCAGAATTGTATCTCGGGTGACTAATCACTTTTTCGGACCGATACATGTCACCGCCGTTGTCTAAGGTGTTGGTACCCAGAACAACGGTTATTGCAGTATCGTTGAAGCTGAAATATCCCATTGTTATATAAAGAAATGATAAAACACAGAACTTTTTAGCAGAAAATTTTCTCGTATATTACCTTGTTAAACAATGAGCAGCTGTTAATATCCATCTTTTATTCAACACCGAACCTCCACAAAAGTGGCGCTCCTTAAAACGCAGGGAGGCTTGATAAGGATATTGTCCCTCCTCAGCTGTACTACCACCGACGATTTTCGAAATTTCATTTATACTTCCCGCTGTATTTGCCGATTTTTAATTATATTACGTGATATCAGTCAACAATGATCATTTAGTAAATGAAAATAAAAATAGAATGAAATAATTACCGGTTACTTCGCGCATTACAAAAACGGCGAAAATGTAGATGGGCAACATTTTCAGATGGCGGATTATTCTTGATGGTAACGATCACAAGTGAAGATCCAATCTGACATTCCCGAAACACGTTCGTAGGGTATTTATACTAAGTACCTTCTTAATATCCGTGTATTTAACAGACATCTGGCCACCATTTAAATTTGGGTCAGATAATACCTACGAAAAACGTTATTGCAATGTATCTCACGTACCCCATGATAGAAATGTAAGAAAAACCGTGACCGAACAAGTACCCTTATCGTTTAAGAGGAAAACGATGCTAGACTAACAAGTTACGGGTTCCCACTTAACTATAGCCTGGTAAAGATTTCAAAATTGTCAAACGTTTCAAGGTGTCTATGACTCGATAATATTGAAAAGATCAAAGAATACGGTAATATTTCTAAATCGTGACTTAAACAGAATTATAACAATATATAAGAATAATATACAAATATATTTTTCAGTCTAAAAATGAGTAAATGATCATTTGATTAAACCGATAAGCGTCACTTTGTCGAACCGGTGACTGAAAGGAGATTATTTGGAGGTCTTATTAAACGAGGGCGCGGAACAATTTAAAAAGACACAAAGCTACACAATTTATTCCATTATGGCATGACTCACCCTGATTATGTCCCATTCAGAGACGGTGGCTGGGTGATTGGCCTCATTCAAATTGTATAGTAGTAGTAGTAGTAAGAGTCTAATTCTGGCGTTATACTTGAACGCACTGCGCTTTCTGATATTGCTCTTAAATATCGCAGTGAACATTCGGATAAAAGACACTTTATCCCAAGTATTTATACCGAACGTGAATAGAAACAAATTCTTTTGGTAACTTAACATAAAATGTGAATGCAAGTAATTTTTTTGTACCACATGTCGAAATACGATCGTATTTGTATCGTATTTATTGTAATCGATTAGACGATCTTTACTACACGTTTCTAAGAAACCGAAGAGAAACTATATTATTATCAAATTGAAAAAAAACTAGAATTTTATTGTAAAAAAGTAAGTTTAAAAAATTCGGAGCTGTTCCACATGTCAGTTGTTTCTTTTATTGAAAATATTACACATTCAGGAGATATTATTTAAGAATTACTTCAAATGAAAATGGTAACCATTGAAACCAAATTGCATGCAAATTTTCTTCTTCTCTTAATTGAAAGAAGCTCTGGTTTCCTGAACGGTGAAGCATATGACTTCTTTTATAAATCGAATGAGGGACGAAGATTTTGATAAGAAAATAACTACAGGCGTACAACTTGAACTTTCTTTATTTAAATGAATCAGGGGCAATATGAACCGGCGATGGTGCGTCGCTTGTATAATGTACTGTACACGGTCAAAATCAATTTTGTCGTGCGTTCCATCCCTCCGTTGACTCTCGCGTGAAATAATCAGCGCAATTATCTGAAGAAGTGCTAACTATTGCGTGTTATTCTAATTAATGAAAAGCTTAGACAATGACAAACTTACGGGGTTTCGCAACCATTCATATTCCCCGATGCCGTGTGTGTGTACGTATAAAATATTCATGTTCTCACAACCAGAAGTTAATAGTCTGAATAGTCACCGCTTCTCCCACGCAGTACAGTAAATAAATAAACATAGAAAAAAAGAGGAATAAGGGATGGGAGAGGGGAGGAAAAAGAAACTCGCTCATAACTAATCTCTTATTCTCGCCTATTCGTTTCGTTTCGGTCATCAACCAACCCTTAATGTATAAATCTTCCGTACCCTTATATAAGTATTTTTATCGTTTACAAAAGCTACTGTTTTAGTATCACTTGCCGCTGGCCACGCTCTAATGTATGTACGCTTTTTTGTTTTTTGTTTAAGTAACCGTGTGAAAGTGAACTCGCGTATTTACGTGTGTGTGTGATAGAATAACTTCAAAATCGCGTGGATCGTGGCTCACTTCTTCTTATCCTGTGTATGCTTAATGATTCGTATGGAGCTCCATATCAGTTGCACGATACGGGCGATCGAGTATTTTCGTTTCTATGACACCCGTTATACGCATAACATAACATCGACGGTTGTAAAGATATAAACATTTCTTTTATCGTTTCAACTATGAATCAATACAATTACAGTTCAATCGTTAGAGAATACGTACAAAATCAAATGCCAGCACCCCATTTAAAACGACAGAGTATCCTTTCAAAAAGTGGTTACGCGTACTTGATAAGTTTCCATATCGTTCAAACGTGAATAGAAATACTTTTGAAATGTTTTTTTTTTTATAAAGATGCAGATGACAATGAAGAAATAGTTTTATTCCGAACATCTGTTTCGCATGATGTATATGCATTATTTCAATCTTATTTAAGCGAACATTTTAAGATCGCGCGGTAAGTGTATATTTTTGGTGCATTATGAAAGATGAATATGAAACTTACTACAAAACTCTTGAGAATACTTTCCGTTGACATTCAGTTTTATATTTTCCTTTTGTTCTTTCAAATTCACAAAACATTTCGGAACGTCCAAAATACTTTTACAGATAATGCACATTGTAAATGCAAGTTTACTCAAACATTTGTCTAATCTAAGCAATTGAAACGTCAGCTATGCCTGGATCAGTCAAGATAAATAAATAAAGAATACACATTTATACGAATTTATTTATAGATTTTTTGCTTATTTCCGTTAAAGTGATCATGATTTTTGCGGTAAGGTCCCTTTGTATTAACAAATTTGTTCGATGTAAATGCTATAGAAAATATATGCATATAGAAGCTTAATACCCCCCTCAAAAAAAAAAGTGGAAATTAATAAGACGATAGTAACTTAAAGTCATAATATCACATGGTGCTGCCATCTAATATTGTAACTGCAGAAATGTGTACAGAAAGATGGCTATGTATAGTCTAGGCCACAGAGCTCCGTCACTTATTAGCTATGAAATATTTCAGTATATTATTCGGTTTTGGTTTACTAGTCGTTGGCCATGGACGGGTGACTTCTCTTTGTATGTCAATGGGTAAAGACTTAAGAACTGCTGCATCAATTTTCGGGGACAACTGCATAGGTGACGAAGGACTGAGTCTAAGATCCGCCATTTCGTTGCTCGGAGATTCTCTGCGCCCACTCAACCACACTTCCAATCTGGTCTTCTTCGGTAGAGGTTCTATCTCACTCAGCAGATCATCATCCGCGGATTGGTTAGCAGCACTTACTGATTTTGAGATCGGAGATGAGGTGGTACTCATCGCAGAACCATCATTGCTATCCTGGTTTATACTCATTGGTGATCCAAGACTGACATCTGAAATACCTTCTTCAGAACTGATGTCTAAAACAGACTGAACAGCAACTTGTTTGCGCAAAAAAGATGCAATACTATTTCTTCCAGAAGATCTTTCTTCGAACTTTGTAAAAGCAACTCCCAAAAGAGTCAAGTGGAATGGTTTAGAGACATCAACGGTGCGGTGGAACAGTTTCATTGCTAGCGCCTGCATTTTAGCATGATCGTAGACACCAGATTTTGTGGAAGGCAGTAAATGTTTAGGTAAAGCACATTGTCGAGTCTCTCTTTTACCCGATGCTGGCTTATTGAAATCATGCTTTCTTACTGTTATTCTCATGGCAATGGGAATCCTTCCATCTTCCATGGCTAACTCTGTCAATCTTCTTAAAAGTGCTCCGAGTCTTGATTCTACCTCGGCTACCAAGGAAACGCTCTTAAAACCATCTTCTAAACCTATGGACTGTTTCTTCCCAGTTGGCTTCACAACAGTTTCATCAATACCTTCAGCATTATCTTTCAACTTTCTTGCCAAGTCCATACCCATCTTCATTTCTAAGGTTTCCAAAGGAGTTTTACGCAAATCATCCACAGTTTTTATATTATTTGATATTAGTAGTTGTGTAGTTTTTTGTCCAACACCTGGTATTTTGGACACAGACCCTATTGTGGATAATAATATAGGTCCACTGCATGGAAAGATTAGTGTCTGTTGATTGGGTTTATGCAATGACCCAGCTAATTTTGCTAGAAGTTTATTGTGTGCTATTCCAGCACTGCACGTGACATGCAACTCTTTATGGATTCGTTTTCTTATTTCTGCGGCTATTTTGGAAGCAATAATTAAACGAGCATGACAACCACATGGACATTCTTCACTTGATGGGCCAAATACTTCACCAATTGGATTTGGATTCTCCATGGAAATGCTTATATTTAATTCAGAATCATTTCCAGAATTCATATACTTTTGCACAAGAGATGTGACATCCATGAAATTATCATCAAAACCTAATCTTTCAACTAAAGGTGTAAACTGATGTAATATTTCTACTATTTTAGCAGAAAAGTGACGATAATTTGTTAGGTCTTCCCCATTCACCAAGGCCAGCCCTGGACATAACTGTACAGCTTCTTGGACAGGCATACATTTTTTAATTCCGTATTCTCTTGCCAAGTAGTTGCTTGTTACCACTATATTCTTTTGCTGTATTCCCAATGGTTTGTCTTGCAATTCTGGATGCCTTAGCATCTCCACTTGAGCATAAAAGCAATCAACATCTACATGAATTATAGTTCGTGGATGTCTTATAATTGTATCAAAATCAATGGAATCCATTGATGTCAATTTATAAATAATGTAGCACGATATTATACATAGAATCTTTATTGTACAAGTTGTGTTGTTTAGCGATTTAACATACTATAATCTGTAACAATAATAATACATAATTAGTGGTATGGAAAAAAAAAAATTAAATAATTTTCATATAGGCATTTCTAATAATTAAATTCCAATTTGGTAAAATTGATTACCTTTCTAAGGAATAAATTTATTTAAAAACAAACATTCAAATATGTCATTTTAATTTTAACAACTATGCATATTAACAAAATATAATTTTCTTCACAGCATTAACAATTTTCAACAAAGATTTTCATTAATCGGGCATGTACAGTTATATACTTGTTGGTATGTTCAATTACGAGCATACATCTAAAAAATAGGTTAAGTTATATACATATACAAAGGGTACAATATACTGACTCTAAATTACATACAACAATTTACGATTATGTAATTAACTATTACAATTTTATTTTCTTGAACGAAAGAAGCTAATGCATATTTGTAAATCATTTTTTTCCTCATGAAATATTACAACTTTCTCCAGATTAAAAAGTAAGGTTACCATTATTTAACGTTCATTCAGGAAGTTTGTTGCCGCACAACCATGCAGAATACTACAGCACGGATATATTTTTATTCGCCAAAAATCCGTTAGGTCATTGGATATACATTAAAAATGTGGCCATAACTATTAAAAATACTAATGTATCATTTGGGAAATCCGCGCCAACACTTCATAAGTTTCACCGAAGATATACGCTTTTTACGACTCACGAGTTTCAGTAGTAGCACGAAACAAAAGTATCGTAAAAATTAAACAGAAACTTATTTATAAACTGTAATGCGACTAATTTATTTTTCACATGGTAGCCATGTTTTTGAATTGTCATAGATATCTTCACATATACATATTTATAATTACACTCTGAATTTTTGTGGATATGACATATCTTAAGATAGATGCACGCATAGTCATTTTATGCTACAAACAGATTTTTTCACCAAAGAATAACATATATATGCGTAATGGCTCATTTTTATGGTATTCTCACGTGACAGTAACCAATGATATTTTTAGTGCAATAGGGAAATTATTTAATGAAAGTAGATTAGAATCTGTGATGCGTTTTTTTCCCTAAAGCGTATTCCAATTGTTTTGTTGAACACCTAGTAAAATTATATCACTGATATAGGGAAGATAAATTATTATCTATATCACTAAAGATAAAACTACCGCAAAATGTTCTGGTTTTATGTTGCATTGTGTATTCGAGTCAATTCGGGTTTCCAATGTACGACAGTGTTTTATTGTTGTAATATGTGTTTAAACAAAATTTCATTGTAATATTTAAATACTACTTTATACTTCTAAAAGTTCACCGATTGATTGGATTGTATTTTATTCATGTATATTCGTATATATGTTCTGTTAATTAATAATAGAATGTAAAATACTTGGTACGATGCATGCAATTGATTAGATGCAACATAACCAGTAAAAGCACGTAAAGATTTTCGTTATTGTGTAAATTCAATGAAAACGTGAAAAATATAAAGAGAATTTAAATGAACAACTTTAAAGTAAGATGTGAGTATTTCCTTTAACGTATTACAAAAAAAAACTAAACAATATCCACTAAAGAAACTACCCTAATTTTTTGTATTTAACGAATTATATAAATTCAAGTAAGCTGCAAATCCAGTGTAGGCAGCCATCTTGGAAAATCCTTTTTCGCATTTCGAACGAACGAAGTGTCGAATATCGATATTTGCTTCATCTTATGCGGTTGAATAGAAAATTTTATCAAAGAATTACGTTTTCCTGTGAAAGCCAGATTTTTCAGAACGATCCTAAAATTAGAACATAGATATTAATTTCGCGCCATTAAGGGGTATTATTCGGTAGCTGCGTTTAAAAAGTGAGGAAAATATAGAGACGAGTCGTGATACGAACAACTCGAATAACAAACGGGTAGGAGAATTTTTCTGTCAAAAGTTGGAAATAATATAGGCAAAACGGCTTCGCAAAAAAAATCGTCCAAGAAGATGGCGGAGACCAAAGAATTAGAGGTGAGTGAAGTATTAAAAGTGGTACAGTGCAGTTACATTACGTGTGAAATTTTAGAGAAAAGTCGGCAGGTCTGCATTGTGAATTTGCGTGGTGATATCCTAGTTATCAGCGAAATACGATTCGCGTCAGTGAATTGTATTAACAGACGCTTAATACACTGTCGTATAAGTTTGACACCATTGTTGTAATGATTACTTTCTTTTCATCGTGAAATATTGCAATCAATTAGAAAACTGTTCTCTATAATTACATTTTGTGCGTAACCATGTTCTACATGACGCATAATGGCTCTAAAGACAAACAATATCTTCACAATCATAGGTAACCTTAACTTATACCTCTTTCCATTCGAAATATTTTTAAACGGTTATCGTTATTTCCTATTCACTACTTTGATAAAGTGTTATGAAAAATTATATGTTTTGTTGTATATATATACATGTATCATCAAAAGTATAAAAACTAGTTTTTTTATTGTATGATGTGTTTGTCCTAATACAATATGGGTATTGGTGAAACAATTTCGTTTTTGTAGATTAGAAAACTTGAAGTATGATTTTTATGCCTGGTATTTTGAATTTTATTTTGTATTTTTACAATTGTTTGTAAAAATCGACATAGTGTAAAAAAATATATTTATCAGCTACTTGAGTAAAACTAACAATGTATTTGAAGATCAATTTTCTATTCATTAGTACGTTTATTTCTTTCTGTAATTTATTACATTTCTTTACCATGTAAAAACTTTAGGAAAATTGCATATACAGTATTTTGAATACATGAATATTTTAATTTTGTGATTACAGAATATGGTATTGAGTTTTCGAGTGTCTGAACTTCAGATGCTTCTTGGTTTTGCTGGTAGAAATAAATCAGGTAGAAAAACAGAGTTGCAAACACGTGCACTAGAATTGTTACGTTTGAGATCCCATCCTGTACAACTCAAAATACGTGAACTATATAAAACCATACAGTGAGTATAATATCAATGACAATACAAGTATACATTCAAAATTGTTATGTTTCAAAAATTGTTATTATTTAACAAGTATTTAAATATCCAATTTCTTTGTTCGTTTCAGTATCAAACTGAAAACTATGTTTCTTTCTTTATATGTACTATGGCATATTATTATACTTTGAGTATTATAAATGTCTTTGAATATCAAACATGAATAATTTGTTCTAATGCTTCTTTCGAAATCTTATTTAGAGCTGATCAATTGGCTGCACATCAAATGTACGGTCAAACAGCTGGTTCTGGGGAACCTCAAATCGATCAAAACATGCATTCCAGAAATTATTACACAAGGTAAATCTATATGACTTGCAATGAAATATTGAAATGAATTATATCTAATAATACTCTTGTTTTTAATTAACACAAAGGCAAGCAATCAGTCAGCAGCAACAGTCACAATCTGCAGTTTCCAGTGGGAAAGACCTTCCTCCAGCACATCAAGCATCGTTACCTCAAGCACCCAGAACCAACCCTGTGTATCAGACCACAGGATATACTAGTGTAACTCCACAGGTTAGTTTTAGAAATATTTTATGGCCTAGTCAGAAGTTCTTCTTTACTAACTCACCTCAAAATTTGAATGTTTTAGCAAACAACAAGTGCCGCCTTTAATTCATACCCATATCCACCCAAAGTTTTACCAACTCCGATACAAATACAGCCCAGAAATCAGTACCCTGTTCATCCAGATGTCAGGTTAAAAAAACTACCATTCTATGATCTACTGGGTGAATTATTGAAGCCATCTAGTCTAATGCCTCAAGGGTCTATGAGACTTCAAGAGAACTCGTTTATGTTTCATTTAACGCCACAACAATCAACAGATATAGCTAGTGCACGGGATTGTCGGGCAGGAAGTAAAATGGACTATATTGTACAGGTATTTTTTAACTAATTTGCTTCTTTCTTAGTAACGTAAAAATACCATATACATCCTTCTGATGTTTTTGCAATTGATTTTCTGTTACAGGTACAAATGCGATTTTGTTTACAAGAAACTTCATGCGAACAAGAAGACTGTTTTCCACCCAGTATTGCAGTGAAAGTTAATGGAAAGTTATGTCCGCTACCTGTAAGTAAGCTAGTAACGATATCACATTTAAAATAAAATGTTTAATTATTTTTTATTTATTCTATTCAGAATCCAATACCTACAAACAAACCAGGAGTAGAACCAAAGAGACCACCACGACCTGTTAACATTAGTCCTTTAGTCAAATTATCACCAACTGTAGCAAATCAAATTCATGTTACATGGTCGGCTGATTATGGTAGACGTTATGCAATTGCCATATATTTAGTTAGAAAGCTTTCTAGTGCAGAGTTATTATCGAGATTAAAAAGTAGAGGTGTTCGACATTCGGACTACACAAGAGGTTTAAGTAAGTAATCGTAGCACGTCTTCAAAGATTATCCATTGTTGAAAGCAAGTAATTATTTTGGTGGAATGACTTTTCCTGTAGTTAAAGAAAAACTTAACGAAGATGCAGACAGCGAAATAGCGACAACGTCGCTTAGAGTGTCATTGGCATGTCCGCTAGGAAAAATGCGAATGGCTACGCCGTGTCGTGCATCAACGTGTTCGCATTTACAGTGTTTTGACGCGTCGTTGTTTCTTCAAATGAACGAAAGAAAAGCCACATGGAATTGTCCGGTTTGCGATAAACCGGCGTTGTATGATACGCTTGTTATCGACGGATATTTTCAAGAAGTATTAAATTCCAAGAAGTTATTACCGGATGTGAATGAAATTCAATTGTTGCAAGATGGTTCTTGGGAGAATTTGGTATTGAAGAAAGAAAAGGATAAAGACAAGACCGAAACAAAAGTAGTTACGAATTCACAAGAGCATAAGATCGACGTCGATACAGTAGACCTTGGTGAGATATCTTGCTTTATTATGTATACGTGCAAAAATAAACGTGCTTGTATAAAGTTTCAATTGAACCATTTGTTTGTTATATTTATTAATCGAAACGTTATTATTTTATATGTATAATATTGTTATATAATTGTTCAGACGAAACCAATCCTGCACCTCCAAAGGAAAAGAAACGAGCTGTTGTTATTGACTTAATATCAGACAGCGATGACGACGAGGAACATACTACACCGACACAGAGTACAAAGAAACTAGCTACTGGTACATCGTCTCCAAAAAAGTCGCAAACCAGCTCTATTAGTAGTACAAGTGAATCGCCAGAGTTGATGATAATTGATTTAGAATAAAGGAATTTTTTTATATTTATTTCTAAAATAATATTGCCAAATTTTGAATGAATACATGAGACGTGTACAGAACAAAAAACTAAAAGTTCGTTAGTTCTGTGATTATCGAAGTGAAACGTTATTATAAGGATTAGTGTAAGTGAGTTCGTGATGTTTTTACTTTTGGTACTCAAAGAGAAGTGGACAGAAAATGAGCAAGAGAATATGTTGATTTTATCAGTTACAACAGGTAAACATTCTACTCTACCATGAATATATATATATGTATAATATAATATATATACGAATATATGGAAGACAAATATTTTAATACATCTTTTTAGAATTATAGAAAAATCATTACATTATGTCTCAGTAGAAAGAATAAAATCATTATTTCTTTTGCAGCTAAAGCATTTATTAATCTTGATAGATATAAGGTGTTAGGATCTATTTAATCTAAATAAATCTGAATATTGTTTTTCTCCAAATGTTGATTCTTTATTAAGATACTCTAATTGATCAGGGTTAATAAAATTGCATAGTCTATATTGATGGTGGATCTTCTTTTTTTTTTTTATAAAAGTCAACATTATGTTAAGAAATAAAATGCGAAAAATTGATACAAATAGAAGATTAACAATGTAACATCGTTGTTTCGTACAGATAAATTTGGCGTTTGTTAGGCGTCAAAGTTTATTCCTTTGGCACAACGGTTGTTACGTTCGGATACATGTAATTTCGAAGTGATATTCCAGAGAGTTGTTGGTCCACAGGTTCTCTTGTATCATATAAACTAGGAGCTTGAAATATTATACAAAGCGTTCCACCGATACACACTAATGTAAAAACCCAAAGGAACAGTCTGTCCAATACCATGGCTACGAATTTCCAATCTTCTATGACCTGGACGTGTAAAGAAACAAAAACAGAGAATTTATCAAAAAACATGGATTTATTTATTAACAATTATTCATTAAGGATTCATCGAACGGAGTTTGAAATTGAATCGGTATTAAACAAGAAAGTATCAAAAGTAAAGTAACTGAACGCTAAACAAAATCATACACTAAGTTGACTCACTTCATTATCTTTGTCCGCATCTTTTATATGTTGAGCAATAAAACGCACACCCTTCAGGGCTGATATGACCTCCGGAGATAAGTGTCTTGGCATTGTATTTTCGCTATCGGTAACTGTAATCATATTTCCATTGTTAACGTATAATGTACCCGCAGTCTTAAATGACATTATTTCACGACCGATTTGTGTCTTGTTGTATCTGTGAATTGCAACGATAGCGCTAATTCCTAACACACATTCGTTCATTTTCATTACTGTCGCACGAATATTTCCGGTAAAATGAAGAGATACTGTAAACTCATGCACGAATTCATAAGTGCACGTACGAACAATCGTGCAGCATTATATTATGATAAAGTTAATAAATGAAATTTTTCTACGGCGCAATAACGTTTACCTGATGCGTGTGGAAAATGCCGGGCGTCATCCTCTCTTATATTTTTGTATTGAGAGGTGACGCTTTCGAATCCGTCTGGACTTCCTTTCAATTCTAGCGGGTAGTCGCTAATACTGTCGTAAAAAGACAAATTTATGGTTACTGTATATTAAGTATTTAACGAATATGGAAATAATTACCTAAAATCTATTTCGTTGGTATAACCACTATCCATATATGTGTCATCGTATTCCGGAGTTGAATATGGCGTGCGACGCATCATTAGGACCCGAGGCATCCAATTTAGGAATAGTTGTCTTACCCATGGTGACATATTGTGCGTGGACGGGGATCTGTAAAAAAAAAGTTCGAATTTTCAAAGCAATTAATCAATTGATCCTGACAGGAAGAGATATTTTTCATGGTTGTCGCGTGGTGTAAGTCAAACTGTTCCGATGCATCATGGATCCAGAGTACTCAAGTCATTAATGGTTCGAGAAATCTTCAAGAGATTTGGGTTTACAAACTATTTAACGTATTTACAAGGGAACATCCTAAACCCGAAAATTCAAAAAAATTCTGAAACTTTGTGAATATATAGGGGATTTCATCCTAATTATAGTGCAATTTTTGTTTGCTGCCCAAATCGACTCTAAGGGGGTGAAATTAACCCCTAAAAATTCGGCTATTTTCCGATTTTGTGTTATAACTCGCGAACTGTAAGAAATAGAAAAATAGTTTCAAGAGGAAAGGTACCTCTTTTAATTAGATCTATTAAATATAACTTTTTTTCTATTTGTTTAAACAATTAGCAAATCTTCGATCATTTGATAGATCTAATTAAAAGAAGTAATTTTTGTCTTGAAACTTTTTTCTATTTCTTACAGTTCGCGAGTTATAACACAAAATCGGAAAAATAGCCGAATATTCAGGGATTAATTTCACCCCCTTAGAGTGAATTTGGGCAGCAAACAAAAATTGTGTTGTAATCAGAAGGAAGTCCCCTACATATTCACAAAGTTTCAGAATTTTTTGAATTTCCGGGTTCGGGATGTTTCCTTGTTAGTTAACGAGTATCGGTACTTGCAAAATCAGATCCACGAGACAATCGGTTATTTGAATTACAGTCTTGTCGCTTGTGATAGCTACCGGAAGTGAACGTTTAAGACGCATACAGTGATCCATATCGACAGAGTGACCAATATCATGGTGAACAGCAAGTATTTCCCTAAAAGTGGTATGGCCAAGGATGTCGGTGGTATAATTTCGGCTAACAGTAGAAAAAACACCGTAAGCGAGAGAAGGATGGAAGAACACAGTGATACCTGTGACAGTGAAACTTTAATGATTAATATGCGCAGAAAGAAAATTGTTCTTCTTAATTTTTTGAAACATTTACTTACTTTCTCGCCCGAGTCACTTGGCAAGTAAAAAACAAGAACTGTAAGGAACGTAATACCCACACATGGGATTATGAGGTTGACCGTGTAGAATAACGTTTTTCTTCGCATTGTAATGTTGAATGTGATGTCTGTCAAGTAAATACAATTACGTGTTTTTAGTTTTATATACACACGGTGGTCCATATGATTCATTAAGGATCAAAGATTAATATCTAAAGATAAAAAGGTTCTTCGAATTTTGCTCAATATAAATTCAATTTTATAAATTGTTACTCGAGTGTCTGATTACTTGGATATCGAGAACTTGGGAAAATGGGATCCAGCAATCGAAAACTTCCTCACCGGAGTACGGTTCTGTGCAACACGGATAATATTCTTCGTTTCTGGATGCTGGCACTTCCAGAATGTCCCATTCTACTGACAAGTAGAAGTCGCTTAAATCGATTCCCCGTTCCACCACATTGCTACCAGGTTCTTGTTTCATATGTTTCAGATCTACCTGTTGGTAAAAGTCTTTACAAATCGTTGTTTATATTAATATTATCTATTTTGTTCGCTGCGGAGCGTGCCAATCCACGTTTCCGATAATTTAAAATTGTTGGCGTCACCTATTGCGGCGTTTTCACCTATTTTTACGTTTAATTAGTAATCAAATTAATTTTTTTTTATAATAATTAAATTTAGGATACAACAACTATGAACGCAAGTCGAACGATAGTTCTGTAATAAATTGATTATTACGTTACTTTAGTTGAAAAAATATATACTGTAAATATTCGAACGTTTATTTGGTAAAACGCAGCGAATGTGTTAAGGGTTAATTTCAAAGTTGTAACCTGAGCACCGTTGTACGTCCACGAACCGAATTTCATGATGCAGGATTGTTCGTCGAACGGAAAGTATTCGACGTTAATCTCGCATGAAGATTTATAAATCGCTGGAGGCTTCCAAGAGACCTCGCCGGTGTACTTCAACGTTGCTTTTGTCATGAGCGTCACTTCGTAATTTCCGTCGGCGCTGAGACACAAAATTACAAAGTTTTGGTCGCGTTATTTCTCCAGTTACATTTTTATAGTAGCCGAATTATGGTGGGCATTACTCAGATAGCACATGACGCCTCAAAGACGCCCATTTTACGGCTATTTTAAGTCTAAGGCATCTTTAAGTCGTCGTTAAGGCGTCATTGGGCGTTATGTGCTATCTGAGTATTTTGAAGTTCTTGTATACGAATATTTTTAAAGGACTTATTATATAAATAATTAATTATATGCTGCATCGATTTGTTCATAGCAAGTAAATGAAATACGTAAGAGAAGAAAATGTTTTTTACTTGTTGTACAACACGATATCCGGCAGCCAAATATTTTCGGAAGGCACATAAAGCATTTCAACGCCACCGTATTCCTCTGGATCCCATCGTAATTTATAGTCAAACCATTTCTATGAAACAACAATACAACACATTTAATATTAAATAACAAATGTATGTCTTATTTATACGTTACACTGATCTTTGATAATTACACTACGATTTCTAACAGGAGATCGATTAAGTGAGTCATACCTGTTCTACCCAGACGTTCGTGGTCATCACTTGATTTTTCAAGTTCTATGAATAAAATAAAAAGTTATTCAGTAAAAACCATATTATTCTAGGAGAAGGAGTGTCAAAACAATTTTTTTTACCATTTCGATTAACTGTGACAGTTTTAGGCCGAGCCAAACCGTTAAGGTTTCGGTGTTATTGATAACAGGACGTATGAGTCTGTTGTAATTGGACAGTAGGTCATCGTAAAGCCTCTTTGTATCCGGATTCGCCTCGTAAGTTTTCAATCCCGCGGCTCCTACAAGAAATTCCATAAGTTTCCTAACTAAATTTCCAACTGCGAGATAAAACAGAGTCTAATAATTTCGTTGACAGGGAACAACAATACGTCCCATAAAAGGAGAAACAAAATTTTATGAATGTTGAATGACCACTGTATTTTGTCTAATATGAGACAGCGGCGGACTTACCGTACACGATGCTAATATAATTGAAAAGAATACCGAGCACTGATATTCGCATTTTAAGCCCAACTGTTTACAAATCTGTACAGGGGCGAGACGGTTACGACCACTCCCAATACAAAAACGACGAACGTTTACCCTCTGACAGAATACACCACGGTTCCACGACCTGACATTATTACGTCAGGAGAACGTTTAAAACGGGAAATGAATTCCTTGTTGAACAATAGAGAGAAACCGAATTAATGGAATACAAGCTTTCTGCATCCTACTGGACCAAAATCGATATCCGAAGTTAGCGCCACCGTGCACGCTGCGGCTCCTTATGTTATGCACCCGTCTACGCATGCTTGTCGTCGAGGTGCACAGCCATATATTCAAATTCTCCGGCCCGCCCAGTTAGAAATTGAAAACGTATTTTTTACTCAAGCGATGTTAAGTTTGACTCTTATCCCACTGAAAATTGGTTCGTGTTAATGAACAGAAATAATTTTGTTATAGGTCGAGAGAAAATTTGCAGTTTGTGACATATTTTACATTTCGTATATAAAATATCTCACGAATTATTAACTTCTTCCACATATTACCTTAATATTTTATAATACCCTGAAGATATATATATTCAACTTATTGTGAAATAATTTCACATGAATTGAGTAAACCAAAAATACTGTTCTTAAAACTGTAACAGTCATTGTCAAGGATAATAACGATCAAACGTAGATCGAAGAACTTTGCCTCAGAGAGAATTGGTGCTCTCCTTATGAGAGTGTCAACTCTCTGAATCATATTCTCCTTCAGAGATATTCAGAGATTCAGTATATTGATAATAACAATAAATGACCAGAACACCGTTAAAATCGCATTTGTTTGCAACGGTTGACACTGTATCTCGTCATGCGTACCCCTGTTAGTTCCATTTGGACTACTCTTCAGACGTTATGCTGACAGCTCGCGTGTTGACCAAGCATTCAATTTGAAGCTGAAAGAACGTAGATTAATCCCCTGTCATTGAAAATAATAATAAACGACCAGAACACTGTCAAAATCGCATTTAATTACAGAATACCACTATTTTTTCGACCGGTGGCGCCACCCGTGTCGAATCGCTAAAACTGCTAGCCAAATTATATCGACAGGTGAGTGAAAATTTCTAGTGATGGAAAAAAGCAAATATCTCAGTAATTAAGCGCTTAAAATGAACGTCCTTAATATCAAATTGTCCCTCAGGACTTAATGCATGGACACAATAGTACAAAACTCCTGAATTAGTAAAATTAGTTATGTCTGTATTACCGTAGCCCCTTATGAGGCGGCAACCCTAATTGCAAAAGATTTCGATCGCATTTACACCGCTAAACAGGCATGATTCTTCTTCGTTTTGCATTAGATACAACGTTTAAAGAACGTAGATTAATACTCTCTAACGGCTGGAAACCAGTAATTACAAGAATATTGTTAAAATCGCATTTGTTTGCAACGGTTGACACTGTATCTCGTCATGTGAACCCCGGTTAGTTCACTTTGGACTACTCTTCCGACGTTATGCTGACAGCTCGCGTGTTGACCAAGCATTCAATTTGAAGCTGAAAGAACGTAGATTAATCCCCTGTCATTGATAATAGCAATAACTGTCCAGAACACTGTTAAAATCGTATTTAATCGTGGAATACCACTATTTTTTCGACCGGTGGCGCCACCCGTGGCAAATCGCTGAAACTGCTGACCTATAATTGGCTAGCAGTTTCAGCGATTCGCCACGGGTGGCGCCACCGGTCAAAAAAATAGTGGTATTCCACGATTAAATACGGTTTTAACAGTGTTCTGGTCGTTTATTGTTATTTTCAATGACAGGAGATTAATCTACGTTCTTTCAGTTTCAAACTGAATGCTTGATCAAGACGTAACTTGACCATAGAACGTTGGAAGAGCTATTCAAAGTGAACTAAACGGGGTACGCATGGCGCGATACAGTATCAACCGTTGCAAACAAATGCGATTTTAACAATGTTCTTGTAATTACTGGTGTCCAGTCGTTAGAGAATAGTAATCTACGTTCTTTAAACGTTGTGTCTAATGCAAAACGAAGAAGATTCATGCCCGTTTAGCGGTGTAAATGCGATCGAAAGCTTTTGCAATTAGGGTTGCCGCCCAATAAGGGGCTACGGTAATACAGACATAACTAATTTTACTAATTCAGGGGTTCTGCACTATTGGGTCCATGCATTAAGTCCTGAGGGACAATTTGAGACTAATGACGTTCATTTTAAGCGCTTAATTACTGAGATATTTGCATTTTTCCATCACTAGAAATTTTCACTCACCTGTCGATATAATTTGGCTAGCAGTTTGAGCGAATTGCCGTGGGTGGCGCCACCGGTCGAAAAAACAGTGGTATTCCGTAATTAAATGCGATTTTGACAGTGTTCTGGTCATTTATTGCTATTATAAATATACGGGGATTAATCTACGTTCTTTAAGCTTCAAATCTAATACTCGGTCAAGGTTCATGCTGCTAGCGTAACGCTATAACAGCTGTTCAAAGTGAACTAAACGGGGTGCGCATCCAGGAATACCGTATCAATTGTTGCAAACAATTGAGATTTGAATAATGTTCTTATTATTACTGGTTCTCAGTCGCTAGGGGATATTAATTTACGGTCTTTGATCTTCGAATCTAATGCGTGACGAAGAAAAGTTATGACCGTTTAACGGTTTAAATGCAATCGGAACCTGTTGCAATTAGGGTCACCGCAATATACCTTGCCTATGTACGCAGGCATAAAATTCAAAGTAGAGAAACAAATCCTGGAAGATAAAAGAGACCTAATTAGACAGGAGGAATGTATCGAGAAGGAGAGAGGAGAGGTAGGGTGGATGGAACAGTAAATGAATACGTAGCAGTTAACGAATATTCTGCCCTCTTCAGCTCAATTGTTCTAACTAACAGTTTCGAACATCTGAAAAAAATGTGATTTTATAATTTTTTAATAGTAGTAGTCATAGTTATATCGTGTTTTCTAATGTTTCGATGTCATTTGAAGATGTTTGATACTGCCGATCGTCAAGAAATGTTCCAGATATTATCACCACCGACTAGGTATAGGATAGACCCCAAATAAGTATCATATTTAACTAATTTGTTTAAGCGACATGTTCCTTTTAAAGATTTAGCTCTCCAGTATAAATTCCTAAGACCCTTATTTATTATTGATTTCACAAAATAATTGCAAATATGAAACTTTTTTACCTCTTCTTGAACATTCTAATTTCATAGCCCTAAACTGGGTACCTGAAAGTATTTCATTGAATTTGTGTAAAAGATTTTACTAGTTCCTAAAAGATTCCGTGTGATATTTGATAGCATAAAAAACAATTATGCCGATACAGGGTTTCGATTTATTTACGAAACTAATCTGACCAGTTGCTGCATTCTTTCACACTAATTTTCAAGAAAATAAAACTTCTTGTATTTCAGTTAATTTGAGAGACACGTAGCTGAATATTAACATACGTTCATTATTTAATTACTCGCAATAAATAAAATTTTTGGAAGTAAATAACGTGTAAGTAAATTCATATGTAAAAATTTACCAATTGCCAGAAAGTAATTGTTCGTGCGTATTAAAATTCTTACAATAGACAGTAAAACTATTCACACTCCCATATAAATTATAAATATGTAGATGTTAATGAAAGCGGTGTATATGTATATTGTCCCACATGTAGATTTGATAAAATGTAAGGCAAGATATAAAAACGAATAAAACAAGAACATGTAAAAAGTAACATTAATAAAAATGTCCATTAACGATGCATTTAGAATAAATTGTCTTGTAGTTAAGTGAAAAAATATATACTTTTCCGTTTCATGTTTCATGACTGTCATATTTATCCCTTAACCTTAATCTGAAGCATCGGATATTTTTATTCTCGTGAAATCATATAATACACGTAATATGAATGGAATATATAACACTTCATTTGTGCTAATAATACTCAGAATTCATGTTTCATCGGTAACGTCGGGTATTGACACTAAAATGGTAACAGGGTTACGTAGTCCTATGAACGTGGGACAGAAAAAAGCATTGTATGATAGGTCTATTCTATACCTAGTCGGTGTTAACACTAAAGTGATAAAGTAGGCGTCTACTGTAGTGGACAAATACAGTTAACAGGTTAAAATAAGCAAATGATTAAATATTGATTTTTTCTCTATTCCCTCTTTCATATTCAAATAATTGTCGCATCGTTGGTTAGAAATGTTCATTTACTTAATATTATTTATAATAATTTGTATTCTTTCTTTAAGATTAATTAACAATAATTCAATTAATTACGATTCTCCAATTTTTCAAATTGAAATCTATACATTATAAAAAGGTAATAGACATTACAATTATTTATATTATTGCAATTTATTAATATTATTATCAATTAAAATTCGGTATTGACAGTTACAAAATCTCTTAAGGGTTCATTAATTGGCGCGTTTACCCTCACGTTACCGTGTCTCGTTGAAATAAACGCCGTCGTAAAACGAGGCCGCCGAGGAGTAGTCCAAATAATCAAGCCAGATGCATAAATTAATGTTGCCCGAAGTTTGACGGCCCTAAGAAGATTAGGACTTCGGGGATTTATGAGGATTAAAGGCTTGCTGTCAGACGATATTTTGATACAGCAGCGAGCACATTCTCAGGTTAAATGCAATTTCAGTCATATTATACACCTGGCCACGCGAAATAACGCCGACGGTTAAATTTACAAATGACCGTTTCAAGTTATCGCTAACAAACAATCAACAGTGCGTATGTATAGGGTGTAACAAAAGTGTTGTAGGTCCCTGAAATGATTCTCACAAATTTTTCCTTCGCAAAGACGTTATCCAAGGCTTTGTTAACGAGATACTAACGAAAAACTCCGACCAATCAGAGTTCGGCCAGTGGCCTGATTGGTCGGGGTTTTTCGTTAATATCTCGTTAACAAAGCTTTCGATATCGTTTTTTCTAAGGAAAAATTTGTTCCAAATCACCTCACGAGTAAACCATTTCAGGG